AAACCCCCAGCCGTGCTACTATAGTCTCAGACTCACACAGCACGTTAAAAGGAATAATAATAATAATAATAATAATAATAATAATAACAAATGAGTGAGGGCAAGAACACTGGCAAGAAGGGTTGATTGAAAATACATCTTGAAATTGTCGATATTTGGTTCTGGCAGGAAGTTCGCTAAATCCCCATGAAGTAAGTGGTTTGAACCGATGATGGGGGGGGGAATAAGAGAGATTTCCAGGCGGAGGGAGGTCCTTAACTTATACTCGGGCCGCTTTCATCGCTGTGCTCTTTTACTTGTGCCAGATAATTATGAAATTGGCCTGTAGTAGGAACGCAAAAGTTGTGCGTCACCCATTGCATCAATTCTGGTACCCGGTTTGGTTTTAGTCTTATGCGAATTGCACTCTCCGACCACTGGGAGTGGATGTGATTGTATGGGTGTAACTGGGGTATAGAGCCAGTAAGAACAGTAGATTTCAGGCCTTGGTCTGTCAAATTTCGAGACTTCGCAGTATCCCATCATCCAAATTTCAAAAAGTCTAGATTTCGCCCTGTAGGCTGTAGCGAGACTCCCCTACTGATCTACGTCTATTTAGTGGGTATCTTTAAGATTCTACCTCAGCAAAACCAAGGGCTCCGGGGCCAAAAAAAGAAAAGATAACCTGACCAATTAGAAAGCGTAGATGAACGTAAAAAAGAAGGAACAGAGAAAATCATAAGGTGGGAGTACCGTGGTAAATCGTCCTCAGAGGAAATGCTAGGGTGCGAGGGTGGAGTACGGAATAGTACGAAACAGCGTAAACTGGAGGCTCCTACTCGCCAGAAGTCCTTCTTCTTACGAAGTAATGCGTAGAAGATTGCGATGAGCCGTCTAGTCCGTTTCTCTCTAGGGGTCCGCAGAAAGCTGTTGTCTAAGTGGCCCGAGTTTGTAGTCTTGGACCGTCTTGCCAGCTTCTGCTACTCCACCCTCACACCCTAGCATTTCCTCTAAGGACGATTTACCACGGTACAGATTCACTCACATACTACGGGGTACCCTCGTAGCACCTTCCACTCACATCCACTTTGTAGTGTTCAAAGAGTGCAATTCCAATAAGACTAAAACGAAACCGAGTACTGCTAACATCAAAAATCCATATCGATAAGCATCCAACTACACTTGCATGTTCCCAGGTCGTGCACCAATTTGCCCGTAGGAACATAGTGAGCAAAACGCCAAAGTACTCAATCTGTGCGGAGAAGAATGCAAGAGTGGCTCTTGGCGGGAAATTGAAGAGGGTGGAGTCGTGGACAATTAAAGCTGCTGTTCCATGCCACCTAGATGGTATTTGAAAGAAGCCCCAGATTCCCACCACCAGCAACCTCTGATTCGCCTACTTCTCTAAAAAAAGATTTTAGGCCAAAGCCGTAGGTGATAGACAGTGTGGCGGGGGATCCGATGTGTCCTTCTCGGATATTAGATTACTGCCTTATAAGGCATCTACAGTTTCACCCATCCTTCAGAGTTTTGACGGGGACGGGTACTTCTATGTGCTATTTCGTAAAGGATGAACCACAGAGGATCAGGCTAGAGTTACATCGAAGTGGCTACAACCGGATGCGATAACTAGGTCAAATTGAGGCTTAAATGCTTGGCAAAATAGCTTGGTTGGCCAACCGACTTTTCTTAACGGGTAAGATGTCATAAAAGTGAAACACTATTACTCCACTTCGAGTGTATTTACACTTCCGGGTTTTCGGTCCTCTCTGGTCTTGAAGGGGTACTACGCTACTTCGTGATATCCATATTGGAATTGCCTGTACTCGTACTCGGCCTGTATTTTGAAAGCAAAACATGTGTAGTTGATCTCCATGTTTTAATTCTATAACTCGCTTATTATATTGTCATTATGGGTGTTACAAATTACAATAACTGGTAAAGAGAAAACAGTAATGTACACACCTATTATTACACCCACCTACACAGGCCTGTATTCTAATAATGTGTAGGACGGAGGACGTCTCTACAGGTATGAAAAAACTTGCCGATTTAAGGCACAGATCACCACCACCCAATACCACGTCTAAATCACGACTTTTCATTATAACGTATACAAATTAAATAATAAACTAACGTCTAAAAAGGGGGCTAAATTTAGGGCTTCTTGAATGGTTGTATTGTAGATGGTGGAGGGAAAAAGGGGGGGTTTTGGGTGGTGGTAGTGGTGGTGGTCTATACCTCAAATCGGCAAGTTTTTTCGTACCTATAGAGGACGTCTCCATGCATGTTAGCATGTAGCTTAACTGTTAAAGCGCAAATAGTTGAAATAGTAACTACACTTATCGGCTTCTTTTTGTAAAATATAGAGAGCCACTGCACTTTGGATTAACCTCCCTGAAACTATAGCTATAAAAGCTTAAAAGCTACAATTACTCCATTCCGATGTAATTACGTTATACTAAACTACATCTAGATACTTGGTCCTAACTCTGGGACTTCGCAGAAGAAAGAAATCAAAAGACAATTATAAAAGAAATGTGATTATCAGAGTTCCCCATGAAGGATATTTCAATACTAGTAGTAAGCAACCGTCCTAGCAAAGGATTATTAAACGAGAAAAGCAGAAAGCTAAGCAGTCACGCAACACTTTAACACAGCTTTTACTCCGTACTTTTCCATGATAATAGCAAAGAAAATTTTCCAATTTTATTAAACATGGCTGTTAATCGGAGCTGTACCTCAACGTCTCCACCCAGAAACAGGAAAGTCACATCGCGAATAAATTGAAAATCACCGGGTGCATACTGTACAGTAGTCCGCTTTAGCGAGGTTTTCCCGGAAGATCCCCAGAACTACTTTTAGTACCGGTATATTCATTAACCATCATCTTTCTTCTTATCTCCTAAATCACTCGGGGTTTCTTCCAACGGGGAATTAACATCCCGTTATTTCCGCACCAAAATGCACACCAAAGAAGCCCCGGGACTATCTCGGGAGATATAGATACATTAGATAAACTTAAGTTACTAACGATATAAAACCTATATATTCTAATATATACTTATAATCCTAGCTAGTACTACTACTCTGTACTAAAAAGTTAACTAAAGTATTATATTACACGGGTCTTTTATATCTAAAAAAAATATATAATATTATTCGTAGATACTAATATTTCGCCTCAGAGGGAGATATTACTAGGTCAACTACGTTTATATAAGATAGAAAGGGAATTAAAAGAGATTAATTATAGTAGACGTATTAAAGGGTAGGAAATGTTATCCTTTATATAGATTAGAATATTAATATAGTACTTATAAACTATATTTTATACCTTATAAAACTATAACTAAAGCGTATTCTAAATAAACTAACCTATTAGTTATTACTAAAGTCTAACCCTTAAATCGCTATACTATAGGTAGCGATCGTAATAGTCTAATTAACTAAAACAGAGATATTATAGGCTAGGGTACTATAATATAGCTTTAATTATAGAATATCTAATAAACTAGTATAAGAAACTCTTACTATACCTCTAAACTGTGACGGAGCTGGATTTCATTTGACAGGATTTCATTCGCTTGGCCAAGCACGTGACGAGACTTGGCATTGGAACAACTTAAATAACTTCGCTCCTTTCAGATTCTCTTCTCTCTTTAGTTTGATTTCTTCGTACCTACGGTTTTAGTTCTAGCAATTGATTCAAAAGCTGTATACACTTTATCCTTTGTTGGCATCCGTGACATAAACACTGTAGTAAATTACTTTTATTTTAGTATTTATATGTTAATTTTTAGGTCTTACGCTTATCGTATAGCGTATTAATAAAACTAATTAAATACCTAACTCTACTCTAGTAGTACTCGAGTTAAGTTAAATAAGTATAATTAGGTAATTCTATTAAGTTAAGTCAAGTACTAGATTCGACTATTCGAATAGTACTCGAGTAGTTATAGATAACGTGACGATAATATAAGAAACTTGTCCTTAAATAGTATATGCCAAATACAGGGGCGCTCGGTAACGCGGACCCACTAGCACCGGCCGCCTAGAGTCGGGCTAGCGAGTCGGACGCGCTACGGGGCATCTGGCCGACACTACTCGAGTAACTTACGAGTTAATCGAGTACTTGGCGAATTGAGTTGAATAGCGATTTTCACTACTCGAGTTAAGTTGATTAGGTGCTACTACTCAACTCAACTACTCGAATTTAATACGCTGTCAATGTCGTGCCAGCAAAGAAATTCTATTTCGTCTCCGAACGCCCAAAGAAATCTATTGTAACAAAGTAACTCAAACCCAGACCTGTTTATATCACATAAAACTTAACACTTCAGTGACCCCGCAGCCTCCTTCTCTTTTTGGAACAAGACTGTTGCTTTCTCGAGCATGCCTTCTAGGTCGACGTTCCAAACCCATCTACAATAGTTGGCCAGTAGTCTTTCAATGATCCCATATCTCAAATAGCGCCAGAAAAGTCGGGAGACAAATGAAATGATTTGCTTACCTCTGATGTATCTCAATCTTCTCCCTCACATCCTCCGCGCTAACTTCTCCACCGTCTTGGGCTTGCAAATCGAGTAACAAACCCTGTTCTCTAGATCTCGATATCAACTCGTTACATCGCGGTCTCCGAATAGCATCCCAAGCTTTAAAAGCGTACTTGATATCCGCAGCCCTTTTAACGAGTTCAGGTTTCAAAAGCCCAGAAAGGAGATATGCATCCTCGATGGCGAATCCCGCGCCGGAATCGAGGTGAGGACTCGTTGCGTGTGCAGCGTCACCGAGGATGCAGAGGTTGTTGACGGTGTATGTTTCTGCGGGAGTGGTGTCGAAAAGTCCCCATTTCTCTGGGTACTCGATGAGCTATCAGGTACTGTCAGTAATACGCATACAAGGGAGTTAAAAGATGAGATACCTCAAGGATCTTAACAACTTCCTCACCCCACCCCTCATAATCCTTCAGCATAGCCTCCCTGTCACTAGGAACCACCCAAACCCTCCTCTTCCACGCCTCCCCCCTCGCATCCCGAAACGCCACAATATTCAACGCATCCCCATTCTTAATCGGCTGCGTAACAACATGTCCCCCCTTCCCCACAAACATCTGCCGATTCCGCATCTGCGGTCCCACCGTCGCAATCGCCTTCTTCATACTCACCACCTTGCGATACGCATACTTCCCGCTATACACCGCATTCGCCTTCTCACCAAACATCAATTCCCTCACCTTGGAACGAATCCCATCACACCCAATAACCGCATCCGCATACGCCTCCGTCCCATCCTCGAACCTGAGCCGTGATTTTCCCGCGTGGTCATCGATCCCATCCACGATATCGATGATCCGCGTTCCGAAGTTGAGTTTCACCCGCGGATCTAGAAGACCTACTATCCCCTCAAGGAACTTCGCGCGGCTGAGACTGCAGAATTCGAAGTTTGCTTCGCCGCGGACTTCTTGGATGAGGTTGCCTGCTTTGGGGCCGTCGCCGTGGCGGACGTCGTACCAGATGTCTCGTTTGAAAGGGTCGAGATTGGGGGTTTTGACGCTTTCGTAGACGCCTTCGATGCCGACGATTTTGGGGGTTATGAGGGACATTGCCCGGACGGCGTTGGAACCGACTGGGAGGTTGATGTTAGCATTGAGTTTATAGTTTTGTCTGGTTAAAAGTAGGATAGATACGGATGTTATGTATTGTCAGTAGGTGAAATTAGGAGGGGATCCTAAGAAGACTTGAAGGAGCGAGCTGCAACAGATAGCATTCCATTCTTCTGACTTTCATGATTAATTTAGGCTATCAACCTAGATCCCCGAGATCAATTACCCCAATTGAGATTCATGAATGATCAATTGGCCCGTTTCAACAAGAAAAACCATGAATTGTCCTAGAGAATTGGTGCAGCTTACTACCTCTGATATTGTCCTCAGGAAGGAGGGGTAAACAGATGAGATGCCTATGAAATGAAAAAAGATGTTTGAAGCGAAATCAAAACATTGAATAACTTACAGCCCACTCCATTTGATATTTCCGAGAATTTCCGCCGCGATTCGAAGACCGTGAGGTTGAGATTCGGATTATTCCTCGTGAGTCCCAGAGCGAGCGTAACTCCCGCCAGACCTGCACCAACAATAGCGATCTCGAGGGGTCTTTCCGACGCCATAGCTCACAGTATTTCCCTAAGAACTACCGAAGGTGTATAAATCACAGCTCTGGGATTTCAATCGTAAATCCAGGTGATATGTCGTATATCCGGAGGTAGATTTCAAGAAATGGGATTTGGTCGAGAAAGACAGCGTGAAGAATAATAGGAAAGAGAGGGATAACTTTTCATCAATCCTCAAAAACACACACTTGCATATTTTTCTGGAGCTTGCATACCGGCAGATGACGTGCAAGCATTGGCTTTCCCCAGAAATCGATCAAAGTCATACGAGAATACCCATAGAACATACGATCACCAGCGATGGCCCCATTTTGCGGATCTCGGGACGACGAATCCGATGTTTCCCGCCCCGGTACGGCCCGCATATTGCCTCAAAGTGACAGGAACAGTTGTAAATAGCAACGGGGAATGTATTGAGAACGATACGGAAATCCAAGGGAACTTCGAGAGATATTGATTAGTTTTTGAAAAGTATCGAAGATTAGGGTAAAAATAAGTGTACTTGGCCTGTAGGCATGGTCCGAAACGAGAAACTTCTGTCACTGGACAGATCTGCTTGACTGGTCTGATATTGGATATCCCGGTATTACTACATAACCTAGCTGCATCGAAAGGTTCTCGTCGCCACATCAATCATGAAGAATTTCCTCATCCTCCCATTCATCTTCCTCCGATTCTTCTTCGTCGGCGTCTTCGTCGTCTTCATCGTCCTCATCGTCTTTGATGTCCTCATCACTTGTTTCGTCATCACCTTCATCGTCGCTATCCTCCATACTAGCAAATTGCCGTCTCTTAGCCAAATCCTCCAAGGCTCTCTTTTCTTCTTCAATCATGTCTTCGTCCAGAGTATCCCAATACCACTCCTCACCTTGCTCCTTGATTGTCCTTGAAATTCTCGTTCTACGGGCAACTTTGTACAAGCCGTGACTCCAATCAGCAATCATCGTAAACGCCTTCGACATGACCTGCATCATATCCATCTCCCCTCTTTGCATCTTGGCCTTCAACTCATCCGCATATTCCTTTTGGCGACCAGCGAACTCGGCCACCGAGCGATGATAATGTCTTTCTTCTCCATAGAAACGTGTAAACATTGCTTTCCAATCAAATGTGATCGTCCAATCCTTACTGTTGACCTCGAGGCCGGGAATGGGTGTATCGAAGAGCTCGCGATTGATTTGTACCGTATGTCTGGGTAGGAAGACCGAATGATCCTCCATTGCCTCCCGCTGCCTCATCTTGACCTCATCACGGCACTCCTCGTCTCCAGGATCTGTTTCAAATACCGCCTTGTCCCCATTCTCAATCAGACTATCGAAGCCGTACTCTAGAGCCAGGAAAGTTTTCATGCCATTGGGAGGTCGATAAAGGCCTACAAAGAATCAGTTCATCGAGAAACAAGTATAGGTCAGTATGCCAAAATTACCAAGATCCCATCGAATGTATGTCTTCCGCAGATACTTGTCTCGAAACACATCTTCAACGGCTGTCTTGAAGGTTCTGCAGACAAAACGGTGGTTCATCCAGAGTTCACTGTGGTCCACTGGTGCCTCGGGGGATGACTCGGCAGATTTTTGGATGACGCGGATCCAAATCTCGGGGGGNGGGGGGGTGGTAGCTGGTGTCATTTTGAGAGTTGATGTAACGGAAGTGGTATTGACTTGTTAAAGTTGGACGCGTTGCTATCCTCAAATACACGCGCCAGGAATGTGGGGGTGGGGCGCCAAGGCTTTACCCCTCCTCCCGTCCTAAATTTCCCCTGATGGTCAGCCGTTGAATGATATACACCTTATCATCCCGTCCAAATTACTTCCGCCAACGAACAGACATCGCCGCCGTTCATTTCCCAAAAAGTACCCCTAACCCTAATCCACTTTGCTAATTCCACAGTCTATCTTGACTCGGTCTTTCACCACCATATGTAGGTAGACAAACACAGAAAACAAGGATGAAATCTTTCTGTGTTCCTCACTCTGTCCGTTGGCTTGGTTACAATATTGCAAGTGTACAGATACAGAAGTTTTGGCCGACTTTCCTCTTGTGTTCTACAAACGTGATATGGATATCTACGACAAGCTCTTCTAGAGGAGAAATGGGGGTAGATACTCAATTGCTTAAAGTCCTCTTGATAGAGGTACTTTTGGCCTTTAATAACAAAAGTCACAAGAACCTGCCACGGCAGTACTTAGTAATATACCCACAGTTTCCAAGACACTCGTAAATATTGTTAGTAGCTGAGCTCTGTAAAGCCTTATTTCACTTATGCCATTAGCGAATTAGTAACTAAGCTCACTTTCACTTTATTTTGAACAATTACCCAAGCTTCTTAGTTATTTACATCCTCTAGAATACTTTATTTTATTCTTTGAGGTTAAGCTAAAGGAGAAGATCTGAAATTACTCTAGTATATCTTGGATTATCAAAATCCTTTAAACAATTGAACCAAATCTTTGAGCTTACGAGACATAATTAGGTAGCTACGAAAAGAGAGGGTTTTTTATACTCTTCAAGTATAATCCTCTAGTGTTATTAGTAAGAGCTTACGGTCTCATATAACTTCAAAACTTAACTCACTAGTCTTCCACATAATACTTAGATCAGTAGAGTAGTAAAAGTATAGATACTATAGTCTTCGTCCTAACCACTTGGAATAGTAGACAGATTGATTTAGACGCAAGAGGGAATTCGACTTTGGCGACAGCATGTCAGGTCAATGAAGGAATAACGTCTGGCTAAGACTCGTATCTCGAGACTCTAGTAACTTCACTTTTGATTTTGTAACTATGTGATGCGCAATTAAGCAGCTTTTGGGCACGTAGGTACCTAGGTAGAGGTTCTTTGCGAGTTCCATACAAACGTCATTCCTGGGAGAGCCGAGTTATTCCCGAAGTCCCGACTCCGCGTCCACGCCACCTCGCGTGATTTTGGCGCAGGAGATTCAACCCAATTAAACAACCGCGACGCGTCAACACCTTCATTTCCAAATATTCACACAACCACTTCGCCTTCACTTTTGGAGCAGGATGTTTAAGCCATTCAAACCTCCGCTACGTAAGAGCGTGCAGAGTGTTCCAAGGCCAGCTCCAGATGTAGACCTCACAATTCCTGAATCTGACGATGAAGCGGAGTCCGCCTCCAAACCACCGTACAAAAAGAAACGGTTAATCCACATTGTAGACGATAGTCCACCTCCCGCAAAAGCTTCCATTTCATCTGCAGTCAATGCACCTCGAAAACCATTGCTGGTCGTCAAAAATGTGACCGAATCGAAGAAGGCTACCGAGGGAGGATTGGAGGGGTATTACATGGTATTATGGTGAGAGAATTCCAGGGTGACATAGCTGGTGATGTCTGTTCTAACACATCACAGGCGGAAATTCACGACCAAGAAGAACAAGACCTGGGATGGTGATGGGGTTTTGGCTGTATACGGTGGTTACGCTCGACTGCAGGACATATCTGGACGGGATATGGGGAGGACTATGTACAACGAACCGCTATTGCCAGGAAGCACGTTGAGCGTTGGGGGCAAGGATATCGAAATCGATTCTTCCATGAGCAGAGCGGACTTTTTGGCCGGAAAACCATTTCTGAAGGCCTCTTCGAAACATATGGACACTGTGGAGGCGGAAAATATCGTCGTGCCCAAAACCAAATTGCCAAAGCCTGAGAGTACTTTCAAACCCTTGAAGCCTTCAGTCATGCCGGAAAAAAAGCTGGAAGTAAAAAAAGAAATCCCCTCGAAAAGTTTCTATGCCTCAACAAGCAAAGGTGCCGGAGTCGGAACGAATTTTAAAAATCCACTGATGGCAACGTCTGTCATGCCACAAAAGAAAGACGGACGTGCAACACCTCGCCACGATCCAGACGCACCCGGAGCGCTGGTGATGAAGCGGCCAAGAAGTTGTCCAAAGGGAAAAGAACTCGTTGATGTGGTCCTGGACCCTTTCTTGGCACAGCATTTCCGCGACCACCAACGGGAAGGAGTTCAGTTTCTCTACGAGTGTGTCATGGGAATGAAGGATTTTAATGGTCAGGGTGCTCTTCTGGCTGATGAAATGGGATTGGGAAAAACGCTGCAGACCATTGCCTTGATATGGACACTCCTCAAACAAAATCCTATTCATGGTCAGGGAGGTGTAATCAAGAAAGCATTGATTGTTTGTCCAGTCACTCTGATCACGAACTGGAAGCAAGAATTTCAAAAGTGGTTGGGCAATGAAAGAATTGGCGTTCTGGTCGCTGATGACAAGAAAGTACGACTGACAGATTTCACACATGGCAAAAGTTATAGTGTTATGATAATAGGTTACGAAAAACTTCGCTCTGTTCAAGATGAAATGTCTAGAGGGGCGGGAATAGATCTTGTGGTGGCTGATGAGGGACATCGGCTGAAAACCGCCCAAAACAAATCGGCTCAGGCCATCAAATCCTTGAATACCGAGAGACGGATCATTTTATCTGGAACGCCCATGCAGAATGATCTGTCGGAGTTCTTCGAAATGGTTGATTTTGTTAATCCAGGACTACTGGGTAGTTACAAAACTTTCAAGAAAGAGTTTGAAGGACCTATCACCAAGAGTAGACAGCCGGATGCCTCTCAAAGAGACATCGAAAAGGGAAACGCGCGGGGCGAGGAACTTGCGGCACTTACTAAAGAGTTCATTTTACGACGAACCTCAGAAGTGATCGCGAAATACCTCCCACCCAAAACAGAATACGTTCTATTCTGCAATCCTACCGAAGCTCAATTACAAGTCTATCAACACGTGTTACAAAGCTCAGTCTTTGGAAGTATGTTGGGAAACTCCGAATCGAGTTTGCAGCTTATCACCTTGCTGAAGAAGGTATGCAATTCGCCAAGCTTGCTTTTGAAGTCGGATACAAATGTCCCCATGAATGCTAAGATGGCTGAACTGCTCGAGGCTATCCCGCCTGAATTGCTTCGCAGAGCCCCATTCAAGTCGAGTAGTAAATTCCGAGTGCTCGATCAGTTGATCAAGTATCTGGCCAAGAAAACGACCGAGAAAATAGTACTTGTATCGAACTATACAGCTACGCTCGATGTTCTCGGCCAACATCTCACTACCCTTGGCTTGCCATTCCTTCGACTCGATGGAAGTACACCAGCGTCGAGACGTCAAGATCTCGTCACCACGTTCAACAAAACTCCTGCTTCGAAGAATTTCGCCTTTCTCCTTTCTGCTAAATCTGGTGGTACGGGTCTCAATCTCATTGGGGCTTCACGTCTTGTGCTTTTCGATGTCGATTGGAATCCTGCCGTCGATCAACAAGCCATGGCACGAATACATCGTGATGGGCAAAAGAGGCCGGTGAAGATCTACAGGTTTTTGATGGCTGGTGGGATGGATGAGAAGATCTATCAACGGCAAGTCACCAAGATTGGGCTCGCTGATAGTGTTGTTGATGGCAAGAAGAACGAGTCGAGTTTCTCACCCGAAGAGCTTCGCGATCTCTTCAGATTACAGATCAACGACGGTTGTCGGACTCACGATCTTCTGGGTTGTAATTGCAAGGGACTCGGTGCAGAGCCTATTCCCCTTCCCACCGAACCAGAGTCCGATGAGGAGCAGGAAGATGACGCTGTGGAGATTGAGGATAGCGATGATGAATTACTCTTTCCGGTGAACCTATCGAGTAACAAAATCGTCTCTGGCACGAAAGCAAACGTCTCCAAGATCGAACAGGACATCCTGGATGAGAAAAAGAAAAGCAGTGGGAAGAAGGGTATGCAAGCTTTGATGCAATATCAACACATCGATACCAAGATCTTCCGCGGCGAAACAGAAGATGTCTTTGGGTTTGAGAACGAGGATTTCAAGGATGTGAAGAAGATTCTTGGTGATGAGGCCCTGGTTGATATCTTGAAGGATGAGAGTTGTAAAATTGGCTTCGTTTTCGCTAAGAAGGCATAATCGGATGGGCGTGTTTGCATATTTGGCTTGGGAGTATGGCTGTGGCATTTACATTTTGGCGTTGGGGCATTTATATGATGTGATGACTTGCTCTTTTCTTTCCTTTGTATGGGGACGCTGGGAGAAGCTAGGTTATAAGTCATGAGCTTTTCTAATGTGCAGTGCTACTAGATAGAGCTACCTAGATAATACTAATTAGTCTTACAATGAGAGCTTACTTACCAGATCAAGACGTATTTTTCTACTTGGTTACTAGCTTCTTGTTAAGGTCTGTGTTTAAATCTTACCTAAGTAGCTAATAAGCAACCTAGTTATTACTCTAACAATATTATTAGATATTGTTATACAAAGCTTTAAGTAGAAAAGCACAAGTGTCTAAGTATATTAGATTGATAAAAAATTAAAATCTAATGCTTCATTGCTTACTTTAGAGTTCAAATTATATATATGCTTATTTCAGTTCCATGAGAGCTTTGAGAATAATATTTTTGTAAACTAAAACTACGTCGCTTATTTATTAGGTACTTCTTCGTAGCTTCTGTATACTTTGGTAACGTTTCTACTATTTTAGCTCCCTAAAGCACTCTGATCTAATGTTCTGTCCTGGACAATGAAGTTCTTGCTACAGATTAGCAGATTATTCATAGCAGTATAGTGCCATATATCTAAGGCCATTTCCTTTCAGGCCCGCCAAGTCGGCCACGGTTTGTTGCAACCAACCACAGTTTCGCCGACCCTGCGGCACTTATCCCTGCCAGCTTTTTGGTGACACAGTTAACCTTTACTTGCCAGGGTCTGAGAAGACACGATGCGATAAACCGCCCGCACCACGACTTTCTTTCTTTCGCACCTTCTCAACACCATTCCTCTCTCTTTATTTGTGTCGGAGGAGAGTATACGGAATCCCTCTGCGAGTTACTACTGAAGTCTTCCGCGAAGCTTCATCATCGTCAATTTCACAACCCCGCCTGCGCGCAGGTCTTTAATCGGACGGGTCTTCTAGACCAGACAATATCACCATGAGTGGTACCGACTATTCATACGATGAACAGGTATGCATGACGCGCTATAATTCAAAAGCGCAATCGTGTGCTAACTGATTAGGGGCAATTCTTTCCTGTCTTCATCCTTACCATCGTTGGCATTGTCACCATTCCTTTGACGTACAGTGTCCTCAAGCCCAGTTCAGATCCAGGTGCCACCGCACCAAGAATCAAGTCGGACTACAAGCCAGAACATGGCGATCTCGTTGACAAGCAGAGAAAGGCTCAGCGGCGGAAGGATCGGAAACTGAAGCGCGCATTCACAGTGGTGGTGGGATGGTCGGTTATGGCGTTGATGGGATACCTGATTATGGTTACCGCACAAACGATACCCAAAATCTGGAACCCATATGACATTCTAGATATTTCAGAGGTATGCGAAATTTCTGCCACTCTGATCATGCATTACTAACTCATCAACCAGTCCGCGACGGAAAGACAGATTAAGTCACACTACAAGAAGCTATCTCTCAAATTCCACCCTGATAAGATTAGGCCAGATCCCGCCAAGAACGAGACTATGGAGTCCCTCAATAGCCACTTTGTTGAGCTCACAAAAGCATACAAAGCGCTCACTGATGAGGAAATTCGAAACAATTTTATTCAGTTTGGTCACCCGGATGGAAAGCAAAGCTACAGCATTGGTATTGCGCTCCCCAAGTTCATTATTACTGATGGAAATGGAAAATATGTCATTTTGGTGTACGCTGCCTTGTTGGGAGTTTTGCTGCCATACTTTGTGGGAAGCTGGTGGTACGGTACCCAAAGAATGTCTAAAGAAAAGGTCTTGATTGAGAGCGCAAACAACCTGTTCAGAGAGTACGAAGAAGGTATCACAGAGGGCGCAATTATCAACGCTCTGAGTACTGGTGTGGAATTTGAAAAGGTTCTCAAAGGCGAAAAAGCGGAATCAGGACTTAACAAAGTGGAATCAAGAATCCTCGCTGAAGGTGCTGCGTCAACTCACGCTGGTGGACTGGCCGAAAAGGATGTACAAAAGCTCGAGGATTTGGAAGGCGGCGTTAGAAGAAAAGCACTTGCATTATTGTGGGCATACCTTGGACGTGTCGACCTCGATGATGCAGCACTCGACCAAGCTAAACTGGAAGTAGCTCCTATTGCTCACGCTCTCAATGGTTCATTCGGCGCTATCTCTCTGGCTTTCGGCGCAACGGCACCCATTCTATCTTCATACGCAACAGCCCAAAATCTCATGCAAGCCGTTCCTCCCGGAGGTTCTCCGCTTCTACAACTTCCTCATATCACTGCAAAAATTGCTCGAGCAATTGAGGGCGATTCCAGAACCCACCTCACGCTACAAGAGTATATGAGTTTGCCTGAAGCCTATAGAAGAAAACTGTCAATTGGCCCGGGTCTTTTGACAGAATCTGAGTACGAAACCGCCGTTAAGGTTGCCAGACAATTGCCCCGTCTTCAAGTCGAAAAAGGATTTTTCAAGGTCACAGGAGAGAAATACATCATACCAAGCTCACTGGTGTCAATGGTTGTCAAAGGTAGATTTATTCCTCCAGGAAGTGAAAATGTTCCAGCAGTCAACGAACTTGATTTGGAGGATATTGACCCAGAGGAGGATGATCTCGATGCCATTCTCGGACGTTCCAAAAAGCCAATCAAGGGAGAGAAGAAGGCCGCTGATAACAAGCCTGTTCAACCACCACTTTCTTTCGCACCATATTTCACCAAGGACTACTCTCCACGATGGCACGTATTCTTGACCGACAGCAAGCAAGGAAAGGTTGCAGTTCCTCCATTCACATTCACGACTGTTGACAAGCCAATTTATGACGAATCCGGAAAGCCAACATTCAACATGCAAACCCTCAAAGCTCAATTCCAAGCCCCACCACAAGCTGGTCATTACACCTTTGTCCTTCACGTGATCTGCGATTCTTATATTGGATTCGACACCAAGATGGAAGTCACATTGGTAGTAGATGATGCATCACAAGCTGAGGAGGCAGTTGAAGATGACATTAGCGAACCAGATGAAGGTACGATTCAACTTCCTACCCCTTTAAAACAAGAACCATCGACTAACCAAAACACAGATTCATTAGCAGGACAAATGCACGCTCTCAAGACCGGGCAACCCCCACCACCCAAAAAGAAGAAGGTAGCAGCAGCAGACGACTCATCGGAGGAGGAATCAGGCACGGACGAGGAAGTCGTTGATACCTCGGATACCAACACCGATACCTCTGATGAAGAATAATGATAAGAAAAAAAATTAATAGGGGTCCTTCTTGATGACTTCTCGTTCTGCTTTTTACCTTTTCCTTACTTTTTTCTGGCTTGGATCGCGAGGGTGCGTGCGTGCATTTTTCGGGGGACATGAAATGTGTGAATGTGTAAAATAACGGCATGGGCAGGGCGTTTTTATTTCTATTTTCTTTTTCTTTTTCATTGTGCATAAGGGATGTATGTGGTGCACAGTCCAGTACGGTTCCGTTCACGTTTACTAGAAAGAAAGAAAGAAAGTCCTACTTCCAGTTCCCTTCCAGGCCTTCCAGGGCTGGGTTAGTATTGAACTGTGCAACTAGGGGTGTTTTTCGAAGCTTTCGAATCGTGTTGTGTTATGTTGTGGTTTTTTGTGAGCTTGTTAAATTCTTAAAAGATTGTGATATTTTATTGATTGTGAGTTGGTTGTGAAGTGTTGCGTACGTATGTATGAATGAATGAATGGATGGATGGATAGGTGGATAGATGGGTTGGGATAGCTAGGAAGTCTTCTCTTACCGTACTCGTACAGTACTCTTGCTACATGGGTATGCGTATACTGACAACAGTGTCTCGGTTTTGACAGACAATCAACATTTCCATTAGCAACCCACTCACTAAGACGAAAAAAAGAGGACAAAGAAGCAGCAAAGAAAAAATTCCTATATAAAAAAGCCCCCTATTCTGGACAAAATACTCTGCAAAAATAGTTGATAAACACCCAGGACCTCAACAACCCCCAAACGCCTTCCCCATTCCAACATACTTTTGTACAATTACTCTTCGTCACCATCCCACCCAGCCCCCCTCCTCGAGTTCCTTACTCGATGAAGCCAAAGAGAGTATCAACAAATCCGTATCCCGCAGACATCAATTTCCCTCCCTTCAATATGAGCACGACGTCCAAAGTACTCCTGACACACTTCTTCAATGAAGAGGTGGTCCGTGGAACTCCATACACTGTATAAATTAGTACATACTTCTCGCGACTTTTTGGGACAGGTAGTGAGGAGACTTACTCTAATCCCATCGCGGTAACATCGTCGCTAGAGATAAAAACCGGAGGACCGTTGGAAGCGCTATCCTCGAAAGAGGGACTATGTCTTAATGGCTGGTTCTCATCTTCTCGTTCGTCGTCCGAGTCTGTGGCATCTACGATGTCACTTAGTGTTGTGAGGATCTGGGTGGTGAGTCGGTGGAAGTAGGCAATAATGGCCATTTCCTGTGTGGCGTTGTTGTCTTCTTTAATGGGTCCTCCGCCTAAGGAGGCGGTTGATTGAGATCTCGGTCTTGCTGTTTCCGAATTAGGGGAGATGGCTAGGCCAGAGAGAAGAGCTCCATCAGATTCGGTTTCCTGCTCCGAGTGGACTCTTTGCTCGCCTGCACTGGCCCACCACATGAATCCAGAATAAGCGAGGGCCGCCCAAGATTGTGGCTCGATGATATCGTCTGTGTCTGGAATATCGAGTATAGACTCTTGGCTGACTACTAAGGTGCTTGATGATGTTGCACGTCCACTATCCTCTTCAATCGCGCTACCCCGCCTGGCTGATGCGCTATCTGGTGGTGAAACATGTCGTGAAAGTCCCCATCGAAGAGCTGTGTATCGCCGTAGATCTCGCTGTGTGGCTCGCATTTCTATTCCCTGTGGAGACTCAACCTTTGGCCATACTTTCTCCGATGCGTTCTCGGAATGCGGGGCAGGCATTGTAATCAGAACATCGTACAATGAACTTTTCATGGCCAAAATACTGTCTGTTGTACATGCTATCCATCCACAACCTAGCTCGTCCCTCTGTTCGGATAAAGAGGATTCGGAAGTAGCTGCCGCCGCTTTGGCAGCTCGAAGGTCTTCCTCCAATAATGGGATATCGTGTACTCCAATCGAAAACAACGGTCGCAAGCGTTGAGGAGGGGCCGTAGATGCCAGTAGATCGCTCACGGCAAGTGGTATATTAGAAAGCACGGAAATATCGTATACTGCCATGATCATTAGTCTCATGTGGAAGTGAGTGACGTATGCGAGAACTGACCAAAGTTACAAGTCTCTTGAACTGGTGCATGTGCTGTGATTAGGATTCGTTTCCGTAACAAGGCCGCTCGATGTATAGGGAATATCAAAGGTCCAAATATTTCGAGTAGATTGGGTAAACTCCATGCGGGGTGATATGCGGCCAGATGTTGGCCGGGTGGAAGGAGAGCAGCTCCGTCCGATGCAGAGCGATTTCTATTATGCCCTCGTGGTTTTGATGGAGATGTTCGTATCGATTGGAACTTTACGCTCGTTGGAGTATCTGCGATCGAATCCGTCTCGACAGCGGGCGAATCTCCTTGTCCCTTGTTCTCTTCCCAGAACTCGTCCAGTATCTCGGTTTTGGAACCGTCCTTGACCAGCACACTACATACGACTTTGAATCAGCATCATACCCCGCAGAAACAAAGCGAATATCGCACCTTGCCATTTCCTTCAACCTCTCGGCATGTTTCCAGCTGCGACCCAGTCTGCCATAACTCAAGGGCACCATCACCCCCACCGCAATCATGCGAGCATTTCGCGACTCCTCAGCGGCCGGCGCATTGATAAAAGCACTGAGTCCAGCAAGATTATCATGAACAAAGTAGATCAGATCCTCCTTGACGGTATGCAGACCCGATGGCAAACTCTTGTATTCCACCACACCCTCCAACTCGACGCCCGGCAGCGATCGCTTCCATCCAATGGTGTAACCGGCCTTGATGTCGAAGTAGATCAGAAAGAGGGCCGAGATGGGTGGAAAGTCGGCGTGGGAGTGTTTGGGAGAGAGGTCGATGTTCAATGGCCCTTGGCCTCTTTGAACGGCGGCCATCCTTAACTGGAATAATTATTCATTGGATTTGCGCAGAGGATGTGTCGGGTACGTCGTGTTCATGTTAGGGTCGCATCAAGGTGTATGTATGAGTGGGGCGATGGGACAGTACCACAGTACCGCAGTACCGCAGTACCGCAGTACCAGAGATACTATGGGTCTTGGCATTCGATTATTACCAGTGACGATAGAAACACTTCATCGTAACCTGACTCGAAAATTCACCTAATTAACTTTATACAAACGAATGATTTATATAGCGAAATGTCGTCGTTTTATAACAGTCTTTCATGAAATTCAAAAAAACAAAAGTTCAATAAATACGAAGGATGCGGTTAATACTACTATGTCACGAATCACGTGTTAGCAGGTGACGAGTGAAGACCAGGCGGCGTCCTGACAGGTTAAGCATTATCACGAACTCTTATAGCGAATAGGGATGCTTAGGCTAGCTAAGCGATCCAAGGATTTCCTTTGGTTACTGTCACGTGATCGATTGGTGTCAGAGGTGGTCGGCCTGACGACCTCTGAGGAATCAGAAAGGATCAGAGCGACGGGCACTGATTTAGGAGAACGAAGGTCCTATATAAGACTGGCACGTCTGCCATTAGATAGGAGCTTCGTGCTCAACTTAGTTTACTTAGTTACCAATACCTTTTGACTTTGACGACTTTGTACAAGTGACGAGTTTACCTCTTGAGTAAACAACCCGGCGCATCTGATCTTCTTATCTGCATACCAACCTTCGGAACGATTACTTTTGTTAAATAGTTTGAGTTTCGTCACATACTATCACTATAGGCTTATGCCTTATAGGGGTACCCTAAAGGGCCGTGAGAGCCCTAAAGAGCTCTCGGACCCGGAATCTACTATAATTTTAGGGTAGATCTTTAAGTTTTAGTAGTAGGTCCCTATATTTTAGGGACTAATCCCCTATATCTATAGTACGTTACGGGGCCTTTTTAAGCGAGGGTATACGCTAGTAGCGAAGTAAGGTAAAGGGGGGCTGTTTTTTAAGGGTTTTTATTATCTCTAAGGTATTTCCTTATATTTTTTCTCTTTTACCTTTATTTCTTAACTTTATTATAGCTCCTAGACGTAATTTACAAGTAATAGTAGTAGACGAAGAAGAAGAAGAAGATAGTAAAGAGGAGTATTTAAGTAGAATATCGGACAACGATATAAATAATAATACCTAGGATTCTGACCTTAATATAGAAGGTAAAACCGACTTAGAGGCTTATCCTAGTAGTAAAGATAAAGAAGATAAAGGATTCTTTTTATACTCGAATAGTCTAAACACGGAAATACTACTATAAGATAGCTTAGAACCGGAAGACGACTTTTTAGACTTATCGGTTAATACTATAGTATTAGATAGTACTACGTAACTATGTATTCTACTTCTAATTCGCCCTAGGGATACTACTACTTCTCGTACCTCCTTACGTTTACCCTTACCCTTACCCTTACTTTTATATCCTCCTAGACTCCTCTATAATGTAACGAATACTCAAACTGGCTAACTAAACTTGGCTGGGTGTTCGCTGGTTGGTATGCTATGATAAGAAGAAGACTATCGGGTTGTTCACTTGGAAGTGAACTCGTTACTTGTATCAAAGATGTCAAACTAATATGATAAGATTGATAACTAAGTTGAGCACGAAGCTCCTATCTAATGGCAGACGTGCCAGTCTTATATAGAACCTTCGTTCTCTGTCGATCATCGCAGAGCGACTCGATCGCCTGTCGCTCAGAGCGACAGTCGGTTCGACCGACACCAACAATGGTCGCTCGGTCACGTGACTACAATACAATGAAATCCATGGATCGCTTAGCTACCCTAAACGATCCCTATTTGCTATAAGAGATACGATAGTGCTTAACCTGTCAGGGCGCCGCCTGGTCTTCACTCGTCACATGCTCACACGTGATTCGTGACAGTACTTATAGGCCTTACTTAACTCCATAAGTAACTATATTTAAAGTAATAGGTAATAATATTCTTATAATAGTTATTTAGATATATACTTACCTATATCTACTTTCTTTACCTAGTATATCTTTAACCTTTAATACTATTTAAGATCCTTTAAAATATAGTTTCTACTAATTACTCTTAAGAGTTAAATATAAGTACTATAGCCTCTTTAAAGCCTAAGATAGAAGTACTACCCTATAATAGAACTTTACTATACTACTTAAAACCTTAATTCTACTAAGATAACTCTTCTAGGTCCTCTAGCCTAGTCTTAATAACTAACTACTTCTAACGCTAAGTATCTTAACTAGTTAAAAATATTAGCTAATATGCTATTTTTTAGAACTTAAGGACTATTTATATTATTATATAAATAATGTATAAGAGTAGACTTCTTTAATCTTAGTTATAAGATATACCTTTATTATCTCTTTACTATTTATAAGCGTAAGTAGGAATTTATTATCTATATATACTTAATTATAGGCGCTTTCTATTAACCTTCTAAGTATTATAGAAGATATAAATCTATATTAAACCTATAGTAATTCTTAATAAGTTTTTACTATTATAACTATTTAGTATAATTATTTGAGTAAGGTTTAATTACTTTTATATCTTTAATCTTTATTATAGTTACTCTAGCTATTAAGAACTATATAGCATCTTACTCCTTTAATTACCTTAATTATAAATATATGTTAGAATTAGAATCCTAGGGTTTTAGTCCTTAATCTCCTTCTTTTTAAAGAGGGAATCCTCTTTACTTTACTACAGCGTATAAAAGTAAGTAATTATTATAGGATTTTTTTTAAAGTAGAATAAGTATTTCTATTAACCTATTTAGTATTTAACTACTTATAAATTAATAAGTAGTAGAAATATAAAAGCTACGTCTAAGTATATATATAGTTTATATCTAAGGTTTAGTATCTTCGTCCGAATTAGTTGACTATTAGAATTTTACTAACTAAGATTTAACTACCTTTTTTACACTATAGAGAAATTATAGATTCTAGGTTTCTATAAGTAAAGGTAAGAGTGTCACGAATCACGTGTTTACGTGATGCTTGTCATAATAGGAGGCGCAACCCTCGACGAGCATCCTAGGTTTCTTATAGCAAATGGGGACCGCTTAGGGTAGCTAAGCGATCCAGGGATTTTCATTGGTTATTATTACGTGATAAAGGACGGCTGGCCGACTAGGTGTCACGAATCACGTAAGCATGTGACAAGTGAAGACCAGGCGGCGTCCTGACAGGTCGAGCACTATCATATCTCTTATAGCAAATAGGGATGCTTAGACTAGCTAAGCGATCCAGGGATTTCATTACATTGTAATCACGTGACCATTTGCATCGCCAGTATCGACAGGCGATGTAGGCGACGGCGGAACATGAAGGTTCTATATAAGACTGGCACGTCTGCCATTAGATAGGAGCTTCGTGCTCAACTTAGTTATCAATCTTATCATATTAGTTTGACATCTTTGATACAAGTAACGAGTTCACTTCCAAGTGAACAACCCGATAGTCTTCTTCTTATCATAGCATACCAACCAGCGAACACCCAGCCAAGTTTAGTTAGCCAGTTTGAGTATTCGTTACACTTAGTATACTAAGTAATTATAAGAGTAAATAGTTAGTTAGTATTCTTCTTCTTTAAAAGTAAGAATAAAAAATAAAAATAAAGAGAAATAATATATATAAGTAAACGTTACAAGCTTACTTAAAAATAAAGGGGAGTATAAAGTTATACTACCTAACTTTAAGTTAGTAATATAATTAACTAGTAGTAATACCAGGGAATAAATAATATAATTTTCAAATTTAAGTATAATATAATAAGTAGTTAGGCTATATACGCTATATTATTAAAATAGGAGTTTTTTATATTAGAGAAGAGGAATAGGAAAGAGAGTAGAATTTATAGGTTTTTAGAATCTAGTATAATATAAAGAGTAGTAGAATAGTATATACTAGGTAATTAAAATAAAAGTCTTTTATATAAATTAAGAAAGTTATAGAGGGGGGAAGGAAGTCTATAGTTTTTAGAATTTAGTATAACTTAATATAAAGGGTAGTAAGGTAATACGCGCTATATAATTAATATTAAGATCTTTTATATAGGATTTAAAAGAAGGGGAGGAGAAAGGAAGTCTATAGTTTTTAGAATTTAGTATAAAATAGAGAGTAGTAAAGTAATACGCGCTAAGTAATTAAAATAGAAGTCTTTTATATAGTATAAAAAGGTTAAGAAGAGGGGAGAAAGTCTATAGTTTTTAGAATTTAATGTAATATAGTAGGTAATAGAGTAATATATACTATATAGTTAAAATAGAGGTTTTATTAATCCTATAACTTATATTAAAAAGAAAGGGGGAAAAGAGATAGTTAGTAGTTTTTAGAGTTAAGTATAAAATAGAAAGTAGTAGGGCTTTATATACTATAGAGTTAAAATAGAGGTCTATTATAAAGTATATAGTAAGTATAAGTAGTTTTTAGAATCTAGTATGATATAGGGAGTAGTAGAGCTATACGCGCTATATAATTAAAATAGAGGCCTTTTATAATGTAAGGTAGAAAGGGGAATTCTTATAGTAATAATTAAATAGAGAGCGTAAATCGCGTATTATAGTACTAAGTCTTAGTAAAGTGATATAGTTTATTATTCTTAATATATTAGAATACTAAAATTTAAATTATAATTTTTTTTTTTTTAAAAAAGTTCGTTAATTTTAGAAAGTCGGTGTCGCACGGACTTTTGTTTATTATTAAAAATACGTTTATTTAGAAAGTCGGTACCGTACCAACTCCGAAGTTAGTGCGAAGTTAGTGCGGTACTAGTTAGTGTGAGTATACCACCGCTTTTCGTGCTTTTGCAGGGGTAAGCGTTACAAATAAATACGCCTGCTGTGAGATTTCCGAAGGAACACTGACCGCATTTGGACTTGAGAGACCACTTTTTCATTATAAACTCGATATCATAATTTTGAGGATTGTCGTGTAGGTTTTGCACCGCAGTAATTCTGTAGAGTTGATGGACTGGGAGCAAAGTCAAACGAACTTTGTCTAGCTCCAGTATCAATCCAATCCCAGTCAAGTTGTGTTTTGTCGTATAAGCTCTGGAGGTTTGAGAGCTCCGTGAAGATTGTGACGCGTACAGGACAATCGTAGATAACCTCATAAAGAACCTTGGTGTCACACGATACTGCTGCTCTGTATGAATGGACAGAAGCGCCCGCCCAGGAGCCGCTGGAAAATTCCATGATGCCTGGTTCAGGTATATCTTCGATGAGAATAACTGTTTCTCCGGAATCCAGGCTATTCATTTCATCATCCCTCTGCCGTAGGAAATCAATCCGTATAAATTTTGGTAAGTTCCCATTATGAAGATCTGGTTCTACCCGGAGAAAAAGTGGCCTTCCGGAAGTTGTGCTAGGTTTTATAGATATCAACTGACGTGTGGTCTTCGGCCCGGAATGACGGTTCTGATCTATTGATTTTGTTCTCCTGGTACCAAAGAGAAGTTCACTAAGTGACGGTATGGTTACTGGAGCAAGGGGCTGCAGAGGTTTTTTGGATGGTAAATCGCCAGCCCTGGAGATAGTAAGCGTGCCCGACTCAAGAGTCATGGTGTGTTCGTCATCGAGTAAGTTGGGACCTGGCACAGTAGGGATCCACCGATTAGGGTGGACCTTCGTTGGATCTATTCCTGGGCCACTGTTGTATAAGAGTGATAATGATAATTCCTGTAAGCTTAAAATAATACTTCCAAGCCGTTTTTTGGTGGCAGGGTGGAGATATGGGAAAAGTCAAAGTCAACAAGATTAGCCAAAATGGCAACGACGTCCTCAATCTGAGTCGTTGTTCTGTTCCGTAAAGAATTCCACACACTTACGAAGTAAGAAAGTTCTTGCCAGCTCCTCAACAAGCCTTGCTTTCCGATGGAACCCATATTTCCAACGTTCTTGTAACAGTTCTCGCAAGGAATTGTCTAAGTGGACATAGGGAGCTGCTGAAACACCCCGCATTTTCCTGAGATCTCGACGGATACGATGGTTCAATAACCTTTGAGAGATAGGCCGGTAAATTCTCTCACGAAGTGATGAGAATTTTGACGTACTAAAATAAGTGGAAAATGGGTGACCTGGGGCTGGTTGTACATGAACTATACCATCTGCGAACAGAAAAAGCGTGCATTGTCCAAGTGCTCCTTCTTGGAGAGTCCAACATCTGCGTTTCCAGGCACAGTGGTTGATATGCGACATGTTCTCGATGATATGAGAACTTCGCATTCGAATGTGCTGTAAACCACTGTCCAGAACCAACACCCGCGCTGCCCCGGCATATATACAAGCCATTTTGTTGATCGAGGCCATCTCCAATTCGTTGTACTCGTTACCGGGTGGAATGCAGAGTGTGTCCATACAAAAGAAGTCCTCCTGTGTACGCGGAACAGGTCCCCAATTCCGATTTGACCGAATTAATCGCGATGACTTCGAAATATTTTCCAATTGACAGTGATGAAGACTATTCGATATTGGATTTCCCAACCCACCAGACCAAACGTGTCATATAGCGGTATATTTTGTGCTCGCTTGTGCTGGTTTGACCTCGAGTTTAATGTTTCCCTGACACGTCTCTACTATCTGGACTACTGGAATTCGCCCATTTCTCAAAATTCCGACAAGCTCTTCATGAGGAACGTGTATCATTTTGCGCGAGCAACCCTCTTTCACATGGCGATTAGTGTAGTTTCCTTGATTGACGTTGTTGGCTTTGCACTGTAGTTTGGTGCAGTTGTCGTGGGTGATGCCCGCGGTATTCGGTCGAGGAAGCTGCGAAAAATAGAAAAGCTCGATTTCAGTATTTTTTAAACACAAACTTGAAAGCTCTGCATCACACCATCCTACAGCTTTCATCCGCTGTAGTAGATTGGTAGCTCCAATTCCTGAACATCCTTTCATCTCAAAAGACCTTTCTTGATCGTCCAAGCAAAAGGAAAAAGTGCACACGTTCAGTAAAGAACCCTGAGAGAAAACGCGATTTCAGCCAATGTTGTATCGGTAATGGGCTCTAATTGGGTCTCCAATTGCTTGGTTGCCGTCCATACTTCATCGAGTAAAGGCAACCGCCGTAAGTTCCTTTTTCGCTTCGCTTCGAGTCTATTAATTAGACTATCCAGGGGGGTAGAATCCACAAGCAATTGAGTTCCTCCTTCTGAGTCTCTTGACGTTCTGACAAAATTATCTTGATCAATCTTGTGCCCGAGCACACATTCGAGAAAGTCAAAGTAGAGCCACGATTGCATCAAGTCGCAAAGAGATTCAATAGAGTGGTTTTTCGCATCGATGGCTCCTTCGCTGTTTTGTGGAAATCCATGTCTACTGGGAAATGTTTTGAAATCCCCATAATCCCAGGGAATCTTCGCGACGAAGGGCACTTTCATAAGAAGACCAATGGACGATTCTGGGCGGGGTAGGTGATCCATGGTTGGGAAATACCACGCTTGTTCGTATTGAGAGATGCGTTTGACGAAATAGTGATGTAACAGGCGAGATTGTTGGTATTGTAATAAAACCTTGTAGATATTTGAGCAGGATTGCACTATAGATTTGACAATAATATGTTTGAGGAAAGTTAGAGGGAGCCTGCCATCATTGTTCTCTGTGGGCAATTGCGAGCACGATAGTTCTAATAGTAAGCTGAGCGGCCTGCAGACTACATTTTCTTCCCCCCCCCCACCTTTAGGATCTATCTGCATGCCATAGGCCGTATGTATCGTTTAGCCGAGATACGAAAGCCACGACGATGATAGTGAGGCTTTGAAAGAACAAGGCTCTGCTTGTGCACCACAAAATGTGCCTTGTAGCAAGCCTGGGGCTATGAGACCAGATTCTGCAAATTATTTTTTCATCAGGTCGACCTAGGATTCGAGAAGCTCAGAAGAAATTATACACAACCATCTACAATCAGAACAGACTACCATATTACGAAACTCATTAAATTTCATTACATCCAGTCCCTTCACTTAATTAGTGAGAAACAAGGATTTAATACAAATGGTGGCACTTTCAGCTTAATATACAGTCCTAGGTAAGCAAGGCAAGCCACTTTTATGCTATTCAACCCTAACCCTAAGGCTAAATGAATAGAGAATAAAGCTTAAAAGTGCCTGGTTGAGCCAAATAACAGTAGAAATCAAAATCCAAACTTCAAAAATGTATAAAACTGTACAAAAAGGTCTAGTCGCCCACAAAACCTTTTTGCTAAGTAAGTGAAGGGGCTGTACCATCCAACACCAAACTCAACGTCCAAAACTCCGAAATTCTAAGGCCACCTTCCCATATCATCCTCACTCCACCTCACACCTCCTTCCCCCTCCTCCATTGCACGCCTCATTCTCCACTCCCAACTCTACTCTCAACTCCACACACCCCTAAACCCTCACCCTCTCAACAACCAAACTCCACCTCCCCGTCGAAACGGGAACCATCCTCGTCCTCTCCACCGTCACAGTCTTCATCTCCGTAAACGTAGTAGGCTGCGCAATAATCAGCGTCGCACTCATGGTCACGGTACTCGCTTCGAGAAGGGGACAAGTCGGTTGATCTGTCTGTCTCAAATCTTGACTTTCGCCTGTGTTGACGTTTGATGGGATAGAGGGGGGATCTGGGGAGGTGAGTGAGATGGGGGTTTGGGTTGTTTGTTGTGAATTGGGCTCTGGGATTGGTTCGGGGGACTGGATGGAGGTGGATGGTTCGGTTGGAGATGGACTTGGTAGGATGTATGTCGGAGATTCCAGGTTTGAGGATGATCCGAATGAGGATTGAATACTTGGTAATTGTGCACTGGAAAGGGGAGACCGGATACTGGTTACTAGTGTATCGAGGGAAGCTATCTAAATTAGAACCTCGCTAAAGAAGGGGGTAGAAAAGGGGTAAACCTACATATCTGAGATGGTATCGTGATAGTAATCGTAGGTGTATTCGCAAATACCGTTATCTTAGTCGTCCTCGAAAACCTCACCGTCGACTCTCCCGAACTGCTCACTTCGCTGCTGGTAAGAATTTGTGGTAAGAATGTCGTTGAACGTGAGAGATCGGAGAATGCACCTGGGTCGGCGGTGGATATCTCTGTTGTGGGAGAGATGATGATATTGATGACTTCGGAGGTTGACTGGAAAGTAAAGGAGGGTTCCTGGGTCGATGGATCTATTTCTGATCCAGAAAAGGTTGTAGCGGTGGTGGATTGAGTAGAAGAAACTGCATGCGAAAGTCCCTCGACGGTGACGTCCATTGATAAGTTTGAATATACAGGCAAAGAATTCCCTTGAAGGAGCGCAGCGTTCATGGGAGAGGAAGAGGTAAGCGAGGTGACACTTGATATGTCTTCAGTCCCTGTCAAGATGCTGGAATTCAAAGGAGTACCGGAATATGGAGCTATACCCGCTAAACTAGTTGGACTCAGAGTAGAATCTGAATAAGGAAGTGCTATCGTAGTATCCGTGGATGAAGCCGTATCGGTGGTTAACACCGTTGAGGTATCAACCGAAGTAGAAGTTGAAAAAGATCCTTCTGTCGATGTACCAGCTCTCAATCCTGTAGAGGTACCAACCGAAGAAGAACTCCCGGAAAACCCCCCCATAGCTATACCAGTACTCAAGTCCGTAGAGCTATCACTCGAAGAATTCGACGGGAATCCTCCCTCGCCAACAACCGTTGCCCTAAACACACCCACACTCGGAGAATAATTCATACCAGTCATAGGAAACACAAACCCATGCACACTCCCATTCCCATTCCCATTCTCACCCCTCCCCAACGCCCTCCGAACCCCATCCAAAAGCCCACCATTCGCCCACGCCTGACTCATATCCCAAATCATCACACCCCCAAAACTACCAAAAGTCCTACAATGTGTGATAACAGGACCTAGTTTATCAGCATCCACATACCCACCCGCGGACCCAACCGCTGTAGACGACGCAGGAATACCCAGAAAGATCTTAACATCTTTATTCAACGACGTATTCCTCGCCCAAGCATCCCAGACATCGATATTGAACTTCTCCCTCGTAGCTATATCATCAGAAAGGAAATTCTCCGTCCCACACCGCGGATTATTATAATACTGCACAAATAGCGCATCAAAAGAGACATTACGCAACATCTCCACATTCTTCTTATCAGGAAAACACACTGCGGCGCAGCTGTAAGATAGTACCTCTTCGCCAGCGTCCCCGCAGTGGGAGGTGCATCCATCAGCCGCCGTAACTCTCTCGCGAAGTCGACGAGGAATGGCATCGGTTCCTGGGCTTCGTCCGAGGATTCGTAGTCGAAATCGAAACCGACGACCGATACGTCGCCGAAAGGACGGGGGGAGATGGGGTTGGAGGCGGTTTGGGGCCCGAATGCGTACCAGACTCTTTTGGCGGTTTCGAGGGCGTTTGGGGTGCTTTTGAAGGCTTGGGATGTTATTTCGCCGCCGAGGGAGAGGAGGACGGTCTTTTTGTAGGAGTTTTGGCAGGTGATTATGTCTTGTCTGGATATTGTTAGTTTAGTCCTTTCTTGATCGGAAATGAATACGATTGCTACTCACTCAAGAGAATCACCCGTTGAAGAAGCGAAATTCAAACCTTTCTCCAGATCCCCTAGATCAACCAGGAAAGCTAGCACGACCTATAAACCATAAGTTATACCTCTAGACCACTCTATCGAAGCTCAACAGGTTCCAATATCTAACATACCGTAAATCGAGGCTCTACAACCGTCAGCAACATTCACAATCAACAAACCTCTCAACACTCACCTTTACAATATCCTCCCAATTTCCCCTGCGTTCTCTCATTACCCGCCGAATTCTGCCCTAAAAAACGCATTCTCAGTCCCTAATTCCCTCACAAACCCTCATAGAAAAGAACCGGAAACACACCCCAGTATATCGCAACATCATCCGAAGAGCCCTTCTCAAAAACAGCAGCCACCATTCTAAGCACGGTGAAAAGAATGGTTATAAACAAGACCCCCAATTTGCATACCAACATCGTGAAAATCAAATTTTTGAGAAGAATAAAAAGATATATTGTAAAATAACACTGTAACAGAAAAAATCATGATTGAATTTACAACCCAAGGTAGAGAAGGGAGCAGGAAATAGATCCGTTCTTTGAGAGGAGGATTCTCGCTTAATTTGTGGCCATGTTGGTTGTGACAGCTCACTTGACGAGCTATATCCATATGTCGTACAATTTCTTTGCCAGCGGAAATGCTGGGAAGCTCAGTTCTCAAGAAAGGACTTGTGTAATGATAGGATAGTGATGAAGAGAGGGATAAAGAGATGGTGAGGACTTTGAGTCATGGAATGTTGGTGTTTGTTGGAGGTTCTGTTGTGATAAAGAGATGTGACACGGAGCAAAAATTGCCAACAATATTTTTACAGCTCTAAGGCCAGTTGAAGGATGAATGGATAATTGAGATGCTTGAAGCTTCGGGTGGGCTTGGTTTATAATAGAGACAGAAGCGAGCTTATCACATCCAAAGAGATACCAAACTTTGAAGCCTTGGAATATATTTGACTATAAGCCATCTATGTCTAACGCGCCCAATACTCAAATATCCCACCCTTTACAAGATCTACAATAAATCAACCTTACGTCTGTGCCCTCTTCCGTCTATTGCTATTATCCAACGCCTTAATAAGAACATAAATCAGATCCAAAAACGGTGTCCCAACCCCCCTCTCCCTCGCCGCCTTCAAAGCCCCCCCAACAATAGCCTCCACCTCCATCGGCCGCATCTCCACCGCATCCGCAACCATACTAGGATAAACGCCATTATCTGGTCTCCGTCCCTTCACCCGATCCATCAGGAACCGCGCATTACTCTCCTGGATCTCCTTGTACCCATGAGCCTGCGCGATACTGACAATCTCCATCTTGACCTTGAACACCATCTCGCTTGCGTTTTCCGACGCGGAAAGAAGATCAATGTCCATCGAGCGAGAGAGGGCGCAAAGGGGGTTCCATGTCCCGTTGACGATGAGCTTGTTCCAGCGTCTGCTCTGGATATCGTCAAAGACATCAATAGTCCCCTTCCCCTTACGGAACAGCTCTGCAAACCTCACCGTCGCATCCTTATGTTCAGCCGGCGCATCAGAAGGGTATGTCCCAACCTCCAAAATCTCCAGATTCCCATGCTTGATCNAAACCTCACCGTCGCATCCTTATGTTCAGCCGGCGCATCAGAAGGGTATGTCCCAACCTCCAAAATCTCCAGATTCCCATGCTTGATCAGCCCCGCCGCAATCTGCGTCACAGGCAAATACACAACCGCCGACACAATCGCATTCCCAGGGAACACCCGCCGATACTCATCCTCGATATGGATCCCATTCTGACAAAGCACCACCGTCGTCCCCGTCCCTACCACCGGCCTGATCACCTGCGCAGTCGACGGACTCGCCCCGGGCATCGCTTTACTGCAAAGAACGACATAGTCCCAGTCCGTATTTGCAGCCTCCTCCACCGTCCGCACAACACCTGGTAGGATCTTGATTCCTTCTCCCCAGATGGCCGAGTTGATCGTGAAGCCATCCCGCTTGACGGTTTCGTAGTTGGATCGACAGACCGCGGTGACGCTGGCGCCGCCTTGGAGGAGGATGTAAGCGTAGATGCTCCCTACGCCTCCGGCGCCGAAGATCAGCACGCGGGACATGGTTGGGTTGGTGGTAGTGGTGAGGCGCTACATTTTGAATTGGGTTTCCTGGGTTGGAGATATGACTCGGTTTTTGTGGAGGTGTGGTTTGGTAGGGTTGAGATGGCGAAAGTGGGATGTGGGTGGGGTACAGTATCTTACAGTACGCGGGTACGGGAGTACCTCTGTATGTTTACTCTACCATGTATCTATCTATAAATCCAGGTCATCCTACATACCTTTCTACCATGTTGACATCACTAGTGACATCCAAAACTCAATCAGCAAGCCTTGAACGCTCTTCAAAGCCCGTGTCGGTCTATAACTGAAGCCTTTCCTAACAAGCAGCTTTTCCGAATTAATGGAAACCCAAACTCATCCCATCCAATCCATCAAACCAATCTTGTGTACAAGTCCCAAAAGAGAAGAGAAGAGAGTATACCTCAGCTTGGGGGTATTCATTCAGCCATGCTTTATTCCTCAACTAGAATAAGAGCTCCTTTCACATTATTTCAATCAAAGCCCAATCATCAATGCCCCCATTCCCATACACCATATACACCAGCAAATAAACCACAAGCATCCCAATCCCCATAAGCCCCCGAAAAAGAATATACAAGAAAACATTCCCCATCGTTACACCTCCTACTTCTCCGACTGCTCTCGCTCCGCAAGCGTCATATTCCAAGGTTTCCTCTGCTTAGCATCCTCCATAAGTCTCGTTCGATCCATCATCGTATCCCTACATCCACATCAGTTTCTATCGAGGGAACGAAAACGCCGTTGGGCAAGGGAAGAACGCACCATTTCTCCTGTTCAGGATGAACCCGAGAATTGTAGTCGTCAAGCTGATGTCGCATACCATTTGCAATGGAATGCGTTCTCGAAGGCTTGGTCCAGGAATTGACAGCCAGGAGGGCGCCGGCACCGGTCAGTGTAGCGAGGGCGATTTTCGATGTACTCATGGTGTCGATGTAAGATAGGAGGGATATATATATGTTACGAATTGGTTTTTTGTTTGGGTTGTTGTGGAGTGAGTGGAGTTGATTTGTGTGACAATATGCAGAGCAATCTAGTTGTATTATATTCATGGGGTTGAGCTCGTGGGATGGGGTTATTGCGTGTCGTGGGTGAGATGGTCATCCTTCATGAGGCGTGCGTCGTACGATGAGTGAGGGTGGAACCACTTTTGCCAACCCTTCGGGACAGTCCGATCATCACCAAACGAATACTGGTATGATCATTTCGTCAAGTGGCCTTCATTTCTTTATGGAAACATCCGATCGTTGGTTTGCACATGATTCACAACACGCTTGGTCGTGAGAAAAACTGCCGAGTCGTGCAATTCGCGCAAAACGATAGCCCGACGGGTTTGCGTACTGCCTGATCGTGAATTTACAAAACCCAGAGGATCGGCAGTATTACCCTACCGTTTGTTCTGTTTCCGGTCCATCAAAGTTATGCCAAATCAGACAAGTCCGGGTCCTGGAAAACGTTGGCCCAAGGATCCTGCCAATATTCAGGTTGAAAACCAAGAGGCATCATCCATTCCGACTCCAAAAACGGCATCGAACTGAATCCATTCCCAGTAACTCCCGCACCACCATTGGGGTAGTTGATATTGTTGGCAGGGAACCCGTTAGATGCTGTCGCCGGCTCTACTAGCGCATCAAGAGAAAGTTCGGGTAGTGGGTTGCATGGAGGAGAGTTGTGAAGTCCAAGCCCAGACAGCTGTTCATCAATCGAAGGCGCCGCATTCTGAGTCATTACGATGGCCCTCGAAGCGACCGTGTACATAGCTTTCGTCATTTTATAAGCCACCGATGAATCGCGCTCTGCATCATAATTCTCGTAGTATTCAACGAGTCTTTGCAACAGCTTGAGATCTTCGAAAACCTTGGGACTGGACTTGTTCTGGAGAATATTCATGAATAGAATATCAACGCTCCATGCGACATGGTTGACCAAGTACCTAAATTCCATCTTTAGCTGAGATATCATACTACATGGAAAGAGTAAATACCGAGTAAATGGATGTGTGTTATCGTGATGATTTAGGAGAGCTATTGACGCCCTTGCAGCACCAACACACAACGCCACACTCCCAATGATCCTCTCGTCTCGGTCATCAGCATTATGCGCGGCAAACCCATGAAATACAACGGAGTGAACGGCGATGATCAACTGAAAGTAGGTATAGTGAAGGACAGTCAGGAATATCAAATTTTCGTAGTTGGAACGATCTAATGTGATCATGGGTCGCAAAACGTCCGGCGAATTCTCCTTCCAGGCCTGGAGGTCGTCATCTAGCTCGTCAATATTGGCGTATAGTTGCTCTGGAGACTGGCTTAAAGACTTTTCGGAATAAAGCCTCTCGTGCAACTTGCCTTGAATCTTTGCCAACAAGACGTGCTCCCTGAGGAAGTTGATTTGAACGCCACCTATCATGTGTACTCCAATTCCGTCGGCGGGCACTGCTTCAGGTAAATTCATGTTTATACTTGGGCTGATACTTGTCGGTTTTCCGAGTCTCAGTGAGTGGTCCATATCAAGAACATAGCCGTTCCAGAAAAGTCTTCGTCTTAACTGAAAATCGGCCTCAGAACAACCGTGGAGCCTGACGTTGGAGTTATAACGAGCCATCGTCATATGTTGCAATGCGATACTGAGAATGGATGTTGAAGGTTGGTTTTCAAAATTGAACATGAAGTAAAGCACCTTGAGAATTAGCAAGCATGCAAACATCAGCAGCAGTTACTTACCGTGGACAGTAAAGCCCCCACAGTTAGCTCATTGACCGGCGTCAAAATAATCGAGGGAAGCATAGCAAGCACATTGTACAAGAATTTATCGGAATCTTCTACAGGCTGTCGTCCTATCAAGGTAGGTTCATTGCGATGCGCATGTGCCACTATAATATTTATAGCAACATACCACTAAATGCGAACGTGATCAGCTTAAACCCCGAGAAACAAGCGGATGTGAAGAGGGTACCGCTTCGATCAAGAGCTCGGATGAAAATAACTTACGCCGTTTCCATGGGGAGCTTTGCCTGCCAAGTACTCCCGCAGTCCGTCCATGATGACATAGTCTTGAAAAAGTATCATGTCTCGGTTGAGTGTTGAAAGGTAAGCTTACATCTCATAATTAGCTGAGGCCATCTTTGCGAAATATTGTCTTTACACACAAGTGACACAAGCAAACAAAATTTCCGGGGGCGGTAGAGGATGTCGGTTTGCCAGATCAAATTCGAGTTCTCTGGGTCTTCGAGTTGACTTGAAGTTACACAACATCTGGCTAAAGCTTCCATCCCCAACCATGGCGTTGACCCATTCCATTCCTTTGGGTGAGAATAGCGAGCATGGTCCTACAACTGCGAATCAGTAAACCGTGACTAGGATTGAATGGCTGGTCGAAGAAATCGATTGTTGAACTGCATTGTAATAAAAGTTTTCGAGGGTGTTCTCGGGGTATTATTCAATGGGGTTTGGGACAACCAGAAACATCGATGACTTCATTCTTAAGACCTTCTGAAACAATAACCATGCCCATATAGAAATATTTCGCATGGTAGGAGAAGGGTGATAGGAAATAATGGCCAGTCATCTTGCATACCTTTAAACCCCTCTTCGTGGCCAGCAGCTATCTTCTTCGTAAGATCATCTCTTGACGTTGAGGGATCTGTTTCGGGAATTTCCCAAGCGAAATCGGTCTCCTCTACTGGGGAAGGTAGCATCAATCTGTGATTTCTTTTGAATGATTTCTCTCTCTTGATAGTATCAGGTAGACTGGCATCCGAAATAGCCGGAGAAGCACCGTCCTCGCTTCCTGTGGTTACACCAAAATCCGAAATGAGGCGTTCCATTTTTGCCAACCTGTGTGTGATGTTAGTATGTACGGGGTCAGTTTCTCCAAGGGCACCTATCTGAGCCATGTCTTTGTATGCGCTATGATTACGAAATTAGATGTTTGTCAAATAAATCGAATCACGGGGAACTTACGAACGACGGACCACCCTCTTTCTTTCCAAAGGGTAGACACATTGCTCCTGATGTTTCTCACAGGCTGTACAGAAGGGCTCTCTTCGATCGCATTTCACCTATGAAAGTCCGTCAGCCATAAAACAGATAGAAGCCTGAATGGGTATTGGGAGCTGGATGAGAGCCACCTTTCGCTTGCGGCAATTCACACAAGATAGTCGTGCTCTCTTTTCCGATGTGGATGGGCTATTATCGTGGGGTAGGCCGTCCGGAGCCACTGATACAGGCGTTGCCGTCTCCATGGTGCTCGTTTCATACGTAGGTACGGGGGCCTGTTCGCTCGTGGAATCACTGAGGTATAATGATTTGCAAGTAAGAAAGGATTGCGGGGTAGGAAACCCTTTAGATGATGGTATCACGTTACGATGAGTCTGAGTCTTTGTCTTCGTCTACGTTGTCCAACCCAACCTTTTGCGAGCGCTTCGGACCTAACGGAGGTAATCCCGGAAGTCAAATGGAATGGGAATTTTTGCGACACACGGCGGCTTAGGGCTCTCTCTATTATTCGTCGTTGGGGATGATTTCTGAAAGCCTTGAGCTGTCCGGCAGTCAGCATAACCCTCGGTCAGCGACGAGAATGTATTTATTTGTGGCTGAAGCCCGAAAGGAAGTGATCGTACCGTAACGTACGTGTACTGTACGTGCCATGACAAATCCAGCTTCCAGTGAACCTTACTTGAACTGAACTTGGCTCCGTAGACCGCCGCTCACGGTTCGAATCTAGGGCCGTGTAACACGGTCCTCTCACAGAGAATCGACTTTTCGCAATTCCAATTATCAAATTTCGGTTAAGAATCAAAAAGGTCAGTAGAAGATACACACCAGACTACACACACACACACACACACACACACACACAAAGATATATTCGGCATAGCCCTAGGATATATCTGGCAGAAGTCCACATGATCTTCCGGGTAATTCTTATCCATACCGGATCTGTAATCCGTGGTTGATCCGGGGCCAAAAGGCCAGCTTTCCGCTCCGACATGTAATTCTCAGGTACAAGTTCCCCAGATGATGGATGACGGGGGAGTCTCTACACTCGAGTACGAGTACGGTTGGAACGGTTCGGGCGAGCACCGCCGGGTTGGTTTTAAGCCAATGAAAGCTGCTGGTTTCCATCGGCCGGTGGAGACATTCTGCCCCATGCTTCCGAGACTCCGAAATCAAGCTGTGATTCGTTGGAGAATGATTCTGAACATGAGATCATTCTGTAACAAAATACCTTCAAGGGACATGAAACATGGCGTTTTCTGTACAGTAGACATGGGATTCTTTTTACTATGAAGTCAGCCCAGGCTCGCCGGTGATTAATTCACATGTTGCTTCCAACACCAGGCGGTACAGTCGTCTCGGGTCGGGAGTACGAGTACAGCTACTCTGGGTAGAAATTCAGCAAACTTTTGCTTGAAGATGCAGCATGGGAGCTTATAATTCGAGGAAAGAGTAAAAGCCGGGTGCAAGGTACAAATATATTGTTTTGTGATAATACAACGTGATCGGAATCGACGTAATGACCAAGATGGCTGTTGAACGCCAAATGCAGTCGGATATAGCCATAATCTGGTGAAATGAATGGTCGGAATACTTTGAGAACGACTCAGTCAAGTTCAATGACGCTGAATACGTGACTTCGCTTAGGCGGTGATGCTGGCTTTGGAAGTGGTTGTGCTGGTCTGTATGAACCACTTGTGACTTGACATTCCTCATCTTCTTCCTCGTCATCTCCCTCCGAGTCCTCATCAAACACCCCATAAATATCTTCGAGTCCTGGCATATTGATACTCCATTCTTCGCATTCCGTCTGCAACTCCACCAACTTCTCGTAAAGCCCCTCGTCTTTATACCTTTCCCTCTCCTCCGAACTCATCCCTTGCGCCAACTCCAACATAGCGTCCGCAAACGACGCCAGCGTACAACCGTCCTTCATCAACTCATGCCTAATCTGGCGTTCATCGCAAAGCATAATACTCTTCGATATCTTCCGCAACACCTCAAGCGCATTCCGTCGCGTCTCCCACCTAGTCTCGGGTCCAGCCTTCTCCGAAACAGATTTGATACTCTTCCTCAACACAGCCCCAATATCACCCATCATATCGCATTGTTTTGAGGCAGATAGCCGTTTGTATTTCATATTGAGCGTGTGCCAGCAGTCTTTCGAGATATAGTCAAAGTTGACAGGAGGACGTCTACGCTCTTCAACCAGGCGAGCAGCGTATGCGGATCGCACGAGATCAGCGCGCGAAGGATCTTCGGAGCAGATGTTGTAGAGGATTGTTGAGAGTTCCAATGGTTGGAGGCCTGTGATCATCTCCCAGAGAGGAGTGGAATCTGAATCACTGGTGACGCGCGATTTCTTGCTAGGTGAGGGGTAGGAAGGTGCTTCGTTGCCATTGGGCATCGAGAAATTATCGTATGTTCGTTTTGAGGAATTTGGAGGCATTTTGGTTGGTTCTTTTGATGGTTCGATGATTGGGAAAAGGGGGGATTTCTTTGCGACCTTCGGGTCTTCCCATTTAGATTTACTTCCCGGAGGAGATCCATTGACGCGCCGAAAACGCCAAGACACGTGATGCATTCTGGTTTGAGCGAAAATCAGATTAGCCGAAAGCTCCGTCTTATTTATTATAAGTTATGAATCCAAAAACCATTGATTCTCTAATGAGAAGGTAGGTCACTAGTCCTGGTCTCTACATATAACTTCCAAGCATCTAATATACCTTATATACACACTCCAACCCAAGAACCCATTCTTCACGAAATTCACGAATCCAAGAAAACAAAAATATCTTTTCCCAACACATTTCGCTAACCAATAATCTCATAAGAGGGGAAATGTCTACGTATTTATGTTGAGTATCTATCTATTCTATTCTATGCTACGTCCAGACAAACAAAAGAAATCCATACCCCGTCTATCCAAGTGAACACCAGGTGCAATCTGAATCTAATCCTACACCATCATTCCAACCCTCAATTCCCACTCTCCATCATGAAATACGAACCAACGAACCATCTCAAAACCTCGAAATATCCCTCCCAAAACACCAATTAATAGCCCTATTCCCTCATTAGCACATCCACCCAGGACCAAAGCCAAAATAAAGGGAGGGGGAAAGGGAAAAGCGAGAAAAAAACATACCAATACATAGGAATCAACAACTTATTCCTCCAACTCATCGTCTTAGTCAAATACGCACCCCGCCAAATTAACCACGCCGTCCTCCCTTTAACCTCCGTCCCCCCCTTACCCTGCATAATCGCCTTCATGTTCCCGACATACGTCAGGACGCCCATATCCGTGAACCTGAAGCCGTCGCCCTGTCCAACATCCCCTCTATTCAGTCGTTTGCCCAGCCACTTCGCTTCCTGGGATGCGACTTGGGCCGTGGCAGGTAACTGCCCCTGTTCGAATACCGAGACATCTCCCAGAGCGAAGACATCGTGCATGGTTGCTTCGACGGGGAGAGGGGTGCTGTTAGAGAGCCGGGAAGGCGCCCCGTTTCCGTTCTTGGGGATGAGCTTGACGCGGAAGTTGGAGTCGACGATGAGGCCGCCGTTGCGGGGGGAGCGCTTCAGAGACCATTTTTTGGAGGTGGGTTCTTCTTTCATGGGTGCGGAGAGGGTGGCCGAGGAGAGGGGGAAGGTGTGTACGTCGTCGAGGGCTTTTTGGATGAAGGGGTTCATCATTAGGCCGGTGGACCAGACGCACATTCCGACTCCAAATTCGCCTTCTTGTTTGGTTTTTAGGGTGTAGCAACCTCCATCGTTGGGAGGTGAGCCTGGGAGTCCTGGTTCAAGGGACACGATTTGATGCTCGGTTTTGATTTTTATCCCGTCTCGCTTGAAGAGGTTAAGTGCATAGTCGGCGAGTTTGCCGTCAAACATTGGGAGGATCTTGGGCGCTATGTCATATACCGTGATGGACACATGGGGGATCAAGGTTGGGTACACCCTTTTGAGATCTTCTTTGCAGAGATCAAATAGTTCTGCGGCGAACTCGATTCCAGTGGCTGACAAGAGTTAGCTATCTGAGAATAATCGGGATTTCATGTTACTTACGGCCACCACCAACGATGGCAAACCTCAATAACGAATCTCTCAATTCGGGAGAAGTCGTTGGTAACGCAGCGGTTTCAAAGCCTAGTCATTTTAGTATACCCTATGTACAGAGAACGACGGGACTTCAGGGAACTCACATTCCAAAATCCTCCTCCGGATTTTCTTAGCATCAACAACATCCTTCAAAAATAACGCATTCTCCCTCACGCCGGGGGTTCCAAAAGTCTGAGAATAACACCCAACAGCCACAACAAGCTTATCATACTTCAGATCAAAAACCTGACCTTTCTTCGCAGTCTTCTCATCCAAGGCCGCATTTGGAACCTGTCTGACAACCGCCTCCTCAATCCTAAGTCTCTTCTCATGAAAATTCACATCATCTGCCCATCCTTGGTAGAACTCCACACCCGACGACCTCGCCCTCACAGATTCAACGGTCGTTCGGAACTCCAGAGTCCCAACAGCAGTCGAAGCAAGAAGAGGCGTGAAAGCAAAGTACGATCTCGGTGAGACGACCACAGGTTGGAATTTCTTCTTGTCCAATTGTCGGGAGAGGACGAATCCCGACCAGCTTTGAGGTGTCGATTAGATCAGAAACCCATGTATCTCCGAACAGAAACTTACCCAGATCCTAGTATAACAACTCGTTCTCGACCTTCTCATATTATCAGTCCTCACATATCATAATTTGCATCATACTGACTCACTCCCTTTACTAGCATCAAGATCCTTCGTTGACAATGCCCTTCGAAGAATCCCATTAAGTGTCCGAGTAGAAGTAGTCCTGATCCTCAAATTAACCGCGCGTGATTCCAAAATCCTATTCATTGTGGAAAATCGAGACGAGGAGAGAAAAGAAAAGATGGAATTCCCAATGGAAAGATGTAATCGGAGTAGGTTTCACAGATTACAAGTCGGGTTGGAACGGGTTCGCGCTGGAGCTCGCTAGAGCCTGGACCAAAGTGACTAATCGTTCGGAAGAAGGGTTAGGCTTGAGTCCGAGAATACTAGCAGTGCCAGTAGGTCATTTTTCTAGGTACTCCTAGTGCAGAACAACGCAGCAATTAATTATGGATCTGTGGAGAAGAAAGTCTGCTTTTTTTGCAGCGACAAGAACATTTGTTGTACAATGACGTTTCGGAGAATGTTGGATGCCGGTAGGCTTCGGGTTACACGGATCGGGCATGACATTACATAAGTCTGATCATTGAGTGGAACCCGATGAACTGTTCTTTGAATCGAGAAAAATAAGGGGTGATGTTCTAGTTGGCAATTCTATTTGGTTCGATAGGAGTTTAATTCTCGTAGATACATCTGGTCGTAGCAGCTCAACCGTCGTTAGTGCAAGCTATCAACAAGGGAGAATCAAGGGAGAATCGACTGCTGTTAGGGGAAGGATTTAGCTAAGGGTCTTGAATGGTTGTAGGTATTATTCAGAAAACTTCAGGATCTCAATTCGCTACACATGCTAGAACATATCGATTAGTGGGGGTAACGATTCAAAGATAGTTGGCCAAACGAGGAAGCAAAAGCGAGAGAGATGCCGGAAAACAATAACCCATCCACTTGCCTTATTTTGTTTGCTATACAAGAAGTACACCGGTGGTATGAGTTGAGTGGAAAGTCCAATGATCGTTCCCTGTAATATACAAGGAGAAAGGGATATACTAATTCAGCTTACAATCTCCGTGACCTTCACGCCATTCGAGCCAACATCAATGTCGACCTCTGCAACAGGCGCACCATGGGCTTCTACCCCTCTATGCTGCTGTGATCCAGCATCCATATGATTTGCATAGATGGAAAGGGCAGCGCCAGCGTCACCATAGCCATCTAACCCCGTACCATTGCGTTCAGGTTCGGGGTTTTCTGGTAGAGAAATGAATCCCTGGTGAAACATATAACCCAAGAACATTCCTACACCAGCAACCAAGCTTCCAATGGTAGTTATACTTTGCCAGTTTGAACTTTGCAGCTCGTCACCGGGTGCTTTTCCACCGTGTTGTCGCATCCGCGTGTTCCTCCTCAGCTGGCCAACGACAGGTATCGAATCTGCAATGTTGCCCAAGAACACCCCTCCAACCCCTATCATGCCTCCAGTATGTGGAACTTCCCAAGGCAATGAGCTCTTACCACCTTTTGATGTTGTGCCTTCCGTTCTTGTAGTCAAGAACGCATCGTCAATATCGGCAGGGCCTCCAAAGATCTGTTGTCCTAGCTCCTCCGTCCAGGCGCATAATTCCGGATATTTCTTCCGCATCGTCTGTGCTAACCAAAGTTGTGGTAATTCGGGAACAAGCATCAGGGATAAATAGCCTAATGCTAAGCAGTCGAGACTCGAAAAAGTCGTATTTGACAGCAAATATCTTTTCTTTCCTTTCAGTTTCTGCAGAGGCCCAAAAAAGTCTTTTGCTAAAACGTCGAGTTTTATTCTGGCCGTAATTTCTGGATTTTGTGCGATCAGGCTGGTAACCGTCGTTGCTCGTTTGCGTAGACTTGCCGGTATGAATGATGCATCTCCTTGGGGCTCTCCATCTTGGGTGTCTAGGTCGAGGGAGGAGAGTCCCAAATGTGCGGTTCTTTCTTTCGCGGCTGCTCGGACAGCTGGAGGCGTGAGATATGGGAGTGGAAATGATTGTATGGTATTGTATATTGGACGAGTGGTTGTGGTGTAGTTGACGGAGGAAACGTAGAGGGAGAGATCGATGAGGGGTTGCCCGTGCGATTCAACAAAAGATGAGAAGCTGTCATCACATCACATTAGCAGCCACTCAATGTGCCATCCACTATGCCCAATTTTCTACTCACGCTATACAATCCGCGCCTTCCAGCTCTGGTAGGCCTGCGTCAAGAACCCACTCGCCCGAGGAGTATTGTGCTAGGTAGTAGAATATGTTTCTGAAGCCCCCAATCCATATGTCGCCGTTCCGTAAAGCAGGGAGTTCATCTGAAGCACACGATTAGATAGATCATCCAAGACAAAATCCTCATGTCGTACTTGTGGGACTTAACGCTGGATCGCTGGTGGCTATCAATGCCCATTTCCCCCTGGGAACCGCCTGCTGGAGATATGCGATTGCAGCTAAGCAATGGGGGTCAATTGACGCTAGAGAGAAGGCGGGGCCCCAGACATGGAGCTCGAGAACCATGGTGGTAGGTGAGCTAGAGCTGGATGGGAAAATGCGGTGCTTTGGAGGTGTTTCGGGTGCTGCGCTGATTTCAATGCGGGCATAAATGCGAGCTTGCCCTTGGAGGTTTGGAGGGATTGTCCGAAGTACGAATGGTTCAATGTGCAGAGCAGTCCAAGGTACGGCGTTGAGCTTGTTTCATCGATGGAGTACGGGCATGTGGTGTTGTGTTCGTTGTTGTGCTGCATGACAGCTTCTGTTCACTTGATACTGGACAAGTGGAGCTTTGACAACGTCCGCCAAGCAATTACCCTGCCTATATAATATATTCTTGAGAACGCGCTAGCAATAATCGTATAATTTAGTATTGAAGATATAGGTAGGTAATGTGTTGCTTTCGCAAATCGTTCAGTCCGATGTTATGGATATTTCAAACGATTCCATAAATCGTTTACTGAGTAATAAGAAGATTGATTGCCAGGTACACGCGAGAGCAGGTGATTGATGACATTCAGGGGTCGCTCGGTAAAAGCGGGAGCAAATTACCCCTGGTCGCTTCTTACCTATTCTCTTTTCTAGATTAATTGATTGTTTGATTGTTCCAGATGTTCTATGAAACGATGAAGAATATTAAACAGGATAATCGGTAATAACGAATTCAATTGGTGGTTCGCTTCACCTAAAACGGTAGAACAACGAAAGTTATTTACTGCCGACGATCACAGCGAGGTACACGCGAGAGCATGTGATGGAATCCAGGGGTTCTCAACTGCCAAATCCCCTCATCGATATGAGCTCAAATACCCTCCCACTTTACTGTGTCAATCAAGAAACATGCGGTGCCTGCACCCTTTGATGTCAAATCCAAACAAACTTGCTCTATCCGTAACTTGTTACCCCTCACATGGCACATCACACGATCCACACCACCGGTTCCTGCTTGATTTCTGTCTTCAGATCCGATACTTCATATGGTACCTTATTTCAGCCATGCGAGCGTGCAACGCGAGGTTGGTTGAAAACGGTGTTTCTCATTTAGGCAAAAGTCATCCATCGACCACATGGGCTTTGTATGTGGTGTTAGGGTTGCAACCCACATGTCTATCGTACCATATTTCCCCACCCCATTTTCTGAGGACGGCATGTTGACATTGTCTCACTACATGATAAGCTTACTTATTCGTATCTACCTGCATCATGCAAATATCTAAGTACATAAAACATAATATCCAAGCTGATGATCCCCCAGTGTAATAAATCCGTCAATACATTCCGCAGACCTAAATGAACCCTCTCCTCGGCAGGCCAAAAGGGGTATACAGGATACACGGGAAAGGCGCCTGTCACCGCTTCATTGATATCTCGAATTCTGATGTATCGAGAGCCACATGATCACAAGTCGCATCACCATAACCCCCTGAAGATCACCCCATTATCGAGGGATGTGTCCGTAGATCATGTTCAATGTCGCGATATCAAACCAAATTAAGCGACACGTTCGTGCCGAAAATATACGTACATTGTGACAACCTCACAACCTTCTTCCAATCAACATTGTAAGCATACTTGTATTTACGTACAGTCACACTGGCAGCTGCGTTAGCTTGTACACTTGACTGGGACAAGCACCCCAGACGCCATAGAATGATTCATCAGCCCTAGTGCAGCCCTAGTGTTATCCGAGGGAGCTATTTACTGTGCCCCTTTCATACTTGACAACACATCCCCAACATCCACCACCACGCAGGAACGATCTTGAGGCCTCGCTCAACTTCCCCAACCCACTTCTTATGCCCAATAGATGAGGCCTTTCGGACAGCCACCTGAAGGGGAACTATCATCTGACTCACCCACACCATACTATTGTCAGCACCCAGAAATTAAATGTACCAAAATCACGTTTGTTGGAATTGAAATCGAGCCACGAAGACGCATCGGCCCATCCCTATCATGATACCTCTTCTATCGTGATGATGACAGACAACAAATTCATCAGGGGTTCGATAGGTTTGACTCGAATCACACAACCCAAAGAGCCGAGCATCCGCTGCCTTTGTATGGTAGTATGTGTTTGCCGAGGGAAACGATCTTCAAGAACGAAATTGAAAGGAGGAATGTGATTGATACTGTATGAGAAATATACCTGTGATATTGCCACCAATGTCAAGTTTGATTGCATTCAGCCAATTTTCTGGGGCTCCAAGTATTTCGATATAATCCTTCCCGCTGTACGCAGCCGTCCCAAGGAATTAATTGAGGATGCTTGAATTGACTTCTTGTGTGCCACCTCCTGATTCCCAGTCATGTTTAAAGTACAAGCCCACGTGGTGGATGGTTGAAAATACCTATCACCCCCGTACCAAACCCCTCCGAAAGCAACTAGTTCGAGATACTTCCGGACTTTTAATAACCTTAGTAACCGTTTTACATCGGAGACCGGATACTTTAGTAAATTGAAACATTCTATCGTCACCTATCTAGTACAGTTCAGCGCAAGCCATGTTTCCGATTTGCCCCGAAGGTCTGAATACTTCCATACTTAGGTCGACACCATAATAGAAAAGCCACGGGAAGTTACCCTTGTAAAGCATTTCCAATCCGAACCGTCCCAAGTGATAACCCCCTCCCCCTCAGCTGCGATAAGCCCCTCAACACCCACATCACACCCACATCCACGTCAGTCCCTCTCCCGAACTACCCGCCGCACCTCTATCTCCACCTCTCCGTCGGACCGCAGCGAAAACAACCATGTGGCATGGGACGTTGAATCGGGTATTAACTTCGTCTGTGCCTGGCAAGTCCCTCGAGTATCCCTGGGCCTACGTACATGTCAGTCAAACCTCCAAAAGTGTATCCAAAATGCCTCAATCCTTAAGCTCTCTTGTGGATACCAACATCCAGCAATTGTTTGGTCGGGCCAGCTTTTGGGGAAAAGCAAAAGCAAGTCGTACAGTAATGCAAAACAGAATGTCAACCACAGGTAGGTGATACATCATCTTGAACTACGATAAGAGAGTCCTCCTAGAAATACCCCAAAAAACCACATCTCCACAGCCCCTCACTCCACCGACCCACAATCCCACATCCAGAGAAAACCACCGTAAGAGAAAAAAAACTGAACAAATATACCCCCTTCATAATAAGACCCCATCGACCAAGCACCACACTTGGGCACAAGTGCATTTCCGAGCGCAAACTTAGCAAACTGAAGTTCAAGTCTTTCACCTCGCATAGCAAGGCATTTCCGTACAGTACTGAGTAAGTACAGCCACGGCACACAGATCCAGCCAGCCAAGATCTCGCACAACCTCGTCCACGTCCGAAAAGAAAAAAAGAAAGAGTAAGCAAAAATAAGAAAATACGGATTACTCACCGCTCTCGCGAAGGGTCCAATGATGTAATAGACGTCAAAACATACATGACGGTAGAAGTGGAGGCGAGGAGGCAAAAGGAAAGGAGGATTCTGTAACCAGGCTCCCGGTGGACAAGAAACGTGGCAGAGGTTTATTTTTTAACTATTAGCGTAAGTTGATTCTAAGTATATACTAAAATGTTTAAAATATCTAGAACAATTACCTTTATTGTGCTATCGAAAACGATAAATCATTTTATTTATTCCAAGTAAATGATATAATATAATGGTTTTTAGTCAAGTTAGGATAAGATAAAAGAGGTCTCTGCCACGTTTCTTGTCCACATGGAGCCAGGGATGGTGTTAAGAAGATTTATGTCGGTTGGAAACGAAATCCAAAATGACTAGATTAGATTGTACTGTAGTATACCAGAGCGAAACACTGACTCAAAGGGTGTATATATAGCAGAAATAAGCAGTTCACAGTCGTCCTTCGGGACTGAATCACCCGGTGAATAAACAATTGACATCTTATCCATACAACTCTGTTCCTGAAATCGGTACTTTGCGCAAGTGATCGGAAATGGCGGGAAGTCAAAAGCGTAAGTATAGAACCCAAATACACAAAATAGCGCCGAGCCTCTTGAAGCCTAAAACCGTACATCGCAATTCTCTATGCCCATCGCCCTCAGAAGATAGCACCGAGAATTATATAAGGTTTGATAGGAAACAATATTTAAGCCTTGATCCGGAAATAATCGACTGCCTCGATCCTTTCCGGAAGACTCCAAGAATAGAAACAGAGGTATTCGATGCCGGGAATTCACGTGGGGGATTAAGGTTGGGAGAATATGATAGAGTATGATGAATGGTACGGTATTGAATTGTTCGATACCAAGAGTTGATTATCTAATTGTATACATGTGATTATTTTCCCCCCTAGGGTGTATCTCTGCTTCCCTGATTCCGAAATCCTTATCCGCGGACCCGATCCAATAAAAAGACGTTATAACGTGAAATGCCATGGGTATCTTGCTGTCATCCCCATCCATAATGACCCTCCCCCATAATACAGAAAGGGAAAAGAAAAAGAAAACAGAAAAAATGTTCCCCAAAAAAGTAGAGATTGCAAACGCCGTGCTATCCTCATAATATTACAAGAGCTGATATGAGAAAAATGATCGTAGGTAGAGGATCATATATCGAGAACCAGCTCGGAAAAGAATGTGTGCGCCTGTCTTTGTTCTACCCAATGTGATTGCTGAAGTAATGGAGAGCCGGCTAATGAGAAGAGTTCGAAAACAACTCGAGCGATGTGGGGTTCGCAAGTTGGTGATATGCTGCGCCGCTCTCATGAGAAGGGCGCGGGGTCATGTTGCTTCGCTACCAAGTTTGTAGAGTGCAAACTCAGGGGTGTTTTTCGAGGAGGATGTGTTGGGTGGTTATGCGCCAATGATGAGAGACAATTGTTGGAAATAGGCACATCCCGGAAGAGGCGTTTGGAGTAGATGCATGTCAGCATGCTCTTTTATCTGTTATGCAACCCAAAGGTCGTTGAGATTGTTGTGTGCTTATTTTTAGGAAGCTGCTGCGGCTTGAGATCGCATTGAGGTGGCTTATTGCATTGATAGATCCGGAACGATGAGGGTGTTTGTTTGGAATTTGCGAATAATGTCGAAACGTGATCGCTTGCTAATGATATTGTGGCGATATGTGAGAAGACACAGGAGAAAGCCAATTTCTAAATCCCAGGTTGTAGTGTACCGTCCAATAAAGTTGAGATTGGAAAATGTTGTACGTGGGGATTTAGTGTCTGGTCTCCTTTGGTAGAGGAGGAAGAGGGCAGCTTGGTGGTGGCCCTGGGCAGGGAGGAAGCTGTGCTGGACGGTGGGCAGGCATTTTTGAGGTTGTTGGTAATTTTGATGTTTGGGAGAAGGTAGAGTACTAGTTGCTAGACAGATTTTTAAACTGTGCAGTGATTGTGGGTGAGTGGACTGATGGGTAGGCGAGTTGTTTATGTAGAGGCGAGTTGAGTTCAAGTGAGCTTCAGGTTAGGTGGACGTGTGAGTGTTCAAATAGTCTGTTCCTGGGAAGTTGAAACAAGTTGAGGGGCTGTCCGTAAAGAGTATTGGCAGTCTGATGTTTGTTTCTATCTCCTTTCTGGCCCTGGGGTTGGGAGGCCCTTATGTAGGTCTCTACCTATTCTCGTCCTGGGGAAATTGAACCGAACACACCATACCCATACTCACCGCATTTGTCCTTCCATGTCCATTTGCCTGACACTTTCCGCTTGCCTGGACCCTGTCTTGTTCCTTGACTCCTTGGAGCCTTGCTCAGTCTATGCAGCAGGTGGCCAGCGCCCAAAATGAAACACGGTAGCGTGGAAGGCCTGCGCTGCGTCTGCTGTGGCATGTCTGTGCGAGTGCCCTGCAAACTGCGTGCAGCCAGGTCCAAGGATAAGCACCAGTCTCACGTTTTTTAGTCTACCCCTTTTCTGGAACGCCAGTGGCCACCGTTACCCCCTTTTGCCCCCAGGCCCCCAGGCCCCCAGAGCAACCTTCAACCACAACGGTGTGNTACCCCTTTTCTGGAACGCCAGTGGCCACCGTTACCCCCTTTTGCCCCCAGGCCCCCAGGCCCCCAGAGCAACCTTCAACCACAACGGTGTGACCTGATGTCTTGTCCTATGCCTTGTCCTATCCTGTTCCTGTCCATCATCAAGTTCGCCCCATCTATTGTGTTCTGGTGCCTCTCCACCGCCTGCCGTTCGCTCCACGCGGCCTTAACTAGAAAGAGGGCTTTGACCTGACAATCTCTGTGATGCCCCATAGCGATGACAACACAAGCCAGTTCGTGGAACAGTCAAGGGAGCTTGGAAGCCTCCTGGTTTCTCACCTCGCAACTCCAGTACCAAGTACTTGTAAAATTCCATCATATTATCATATAATAAGTTGATAAGCGAGCCCCATACTGTGTATTTACTGGTAAACGCAGGCATTCTTTTCGCCCAAGCTTTTCATCCTGAGCATGTTTGCCCTGCCTCGCCTCCAGCACCCTCCAGAAGTGTTTCTAATCCCGGTGCCCTGGAAATTCCAACGTCAGCTGGGAGTGGATCCGTTCTGTTGCTGCGCCAGATTGAGTTAGTGTTGGCAGAAAAGTGTAGGCTGAAGCGATAACCCAAAACTAGATTGGCCATGGATATAAAATTGCGACAGAAGTATTTATATCCTGTTATCAATATTGAAGATTTTCATGGAAGCCTTCTCCACGGCTGGCTGCGTTTGCGCATGGCGACAGGCATAGGAGGGTAAAATTGAAAGTGGAATAATATGGTTCTAACCGTGGGCGCATCACCTTATCGTTCATCTTGCCCCAAAATTTATCTCTTGCTCGGAAAAGGTAAAAAACAATCGGCGATGACTGGTTGAGGCATCCATAACCATGGCACTGCCCTGAAGTGACCAAGGTTTAACACGATACGTCCCGTATTTCCATATGTCGGGATTTTATTCCCCCTCCTTGTCGAGAAACATACATACCGGTCAACGCAACGTCATCATCGTGACATCGTCTTCCGTAGACCATGCTAGGGAATAGCTTCGTGACGCACATCCCCAAGAGTCTAAATAGCCATGAAACTTGGCCATGGCTCAAAAGATGGACATGCGATACTGAGCAAACCGTGTATCCGACCTGGTAGGAGGCACCGATGGGTTTTCGGAAAATGTCCACCAACTCGCCGTGTTGATAGCATAAACAATTAGCCGCGCGACCTTCAAACAGACCCAAAAGGAACGCTTCGAAGGCTAAGCATCAGCTGCATGAGTATCACGACAGGAGACCTTTCCAAGCGCTTCTCAGTCGTCTCGGGCGCTTAGCGTAGCGGTTCATGGCCTTTCCTCCGGGGGTTGAATCCTCCGAATTTTGATCTGAAAATTAACTTGTTCTGCGTCGGATAATTTTTTGTTTTTTGCTTTGACCCTTTCCACGAAGGCCAAACACCCTAAATTTAGCCTTCGCCGTTTACCTTCACGCCCGGATGTTGTTGGATCAAATACGATACGAGCTAAAATCCGACACGATGAGGCCTCATAACTCTCTCATGAGAAGGTGGGTCATCGACGATTTCAATTGCGGTCGCCCATTTGTTCCATCAAGTTCCTCAACTGTCACCGCCGTTTGACCTAACTTTCCGAACATCAACAAACTTTTTCCCTTCGAGACGTTGGAAATCCTTTTCGCACGACTGTTTGTGGCGACTCTCTGCCGTGCTCTAGTCTCTTGTCCCCGGGTGAAAGAACAGCAAATCCCCCACTAGTGACTTCAACTGTGACAAGTACTTCGTACTTCGTATATCAGCGGAAACCATTCCCTACTGTAATCCTTAGCGAGATACTCTTGGTACTCGAGTACAGCACCTTCTCTTCACAGGGGGCCAATGAGTTCATCGGAGGCCGACCTATCATCCTTTCTGACATGAAGCAACGACTTCGTTCATGGAAGACAAAAAGACAACAAGCTGGACCCCTGCAAAACCATTCTGTCGCGAAAAACCCGACAACTAAAATCCAGACAAGGCTGAGAGTTCGGGATAGACTGAGGCTCAATAATGGCAAAGCAGGTTCCCGCGCCCTTGCATCTATCAATTCCAGCCTGGAACTTCTGAGCCAGAACTCTCATGGCATCCAACCGAGTCCAGAATGTTGGTCTCGACTTCCGACAAGTCCATACTTCGTTTTATGAGAAGTATTGTCCAAGAGTATTTAGGATTTTGGAAATCCTCCAAAGCTTTCTTGCCTAAAACCCAGAGGCCAAAGCTTTTTGACCTTCGTAAAATTACTTCGTAAACTGAAAAAGAAGAAAAAAAGATTTGGTGATCTTCCCTGTCAGAGCTTTCAGACCTATCCTGGTTACCCCCGACCAAAACCTTCTTCTCCAGACTCCAGAGGATTTGTATTAACCCCGACCCCGAGCTCAAGTTCAATCTTCAATGATGTGTTTCCAGGACATCTTCTCCCTTTTGCCCAGTCCAGCTATCCAAGGGTTCTAAGGGGATTGAGACCATTGGGTATGTAAGTACCGGGTGCTGCTCACCGCCAACCTCTTGGCCAATCGCGAGCTGTATCTGAATGTACAAGTGACGAGCTTCGATACATACTTATTGGGGAGCAGGTGACTCTTCAGTTCCACTTGGAAATACTACCCTCCTCGGCATCTGATGGAAGATGACCCAGTAATAATGGGATTTGCGTCATCGGATGATCGGAAATGCATACGGTGGATGTCAGACATAGTCGGGTCGGAAAAAGCACACTTGCGCAGGGGAACATGGAATGCAGGGGCGAGCGAAAGCGGTGAAGTTGATCAGCACTGTGCCAAAGGACCCCTAAGTGAGTTTTCCGCGTATATTTATTCCCGCCTGTCAAAATGCTTGTACGTCGTAGGAAACCCAATAAACTCGCAAATCCTTATTCCCATTGCGGCATTTCCAAGGAGGATGGACACACTGTACGAAAGAGTTATCTGGAAACACAAGCTAATATAAATTTACTTCGAATTGATACGAACTGGTTGAATACGATACCTCCCGCTTCGAACATGTAGAGTGGTGACCGGCGACTCCGATGCAGTGGTCTTTCCACACAGACGGTTGCCACCATCATGTTTCTTCTTTCTTTAGCGCCCGGCCATCTGGAATAGAGCACGTGTTCTGCTTCTTTTACTCCGTAAACAAACACAAAGTTGCCGTGGTAAGCGGTGCTATGACGTCCAAAAATTTCAGGAACTGCTGTTTCAAACCCTCCATTGGATTATGGGTGTCCATTGGCATGTGAAGACAAATAGGAGGCCAATTTGCTGCCTGAACACTACCGTACTCTGCCTTTCAGATGTTCCAGCAACCAGAGGATGGCGTCCCGTTCATTCAGGCTTCTGGAAGAAAAAAGCGGAAATTCAAACGGAAGTTCAGAGTCTGATCAATGCTGTAGACTAAATACGCATATCCACAGTCGAATTCCAAAACACCACTGCCAAGGATCGCACAATGCTTCTGCAGACCTTCTGGAAGTAATTTAGATCTTCGCTTCCGTGCCCACAATGCTCCTTTTTGTTGAAATTTGGCGAAGGGTCGCCCAGAGGCTTAGCGGTGAGATTTAATTAGAAAGGGGTATGGCGTTTGTCACAATCCATAAACGTATCATATACGCACGGTAAATGATGATCTTCCTATGGCATGCTCAGATCATTTGTGCTCAGCAATGAAAAATCCGCCGTTGTGAAACATGTCTCAAGTGTGCAAAAAAATAGAAAAAAGGAGAAAAGAAAAATTGTTGGTTATGCTGTTTTATTCGCCAATTGGTCTCATTTACACATCTCGAGGTCGCGTAACGTCAATTCCAGGCCGAAGTCGCAAAAATGAGCCTTGGATGGAGAGATTTTTTGGGAATTTAGCAAACGCATCTTCTTTTCTACTTCTACCAACTTGTTGACAGAAGCCTTGACTCCCGTCGGTTTGCAAAGCTGCGGCCACCCGTCGATGCAACACTCCGCAAATTTCAACAAAACCCGCCTTCTAGAAGGCGCCCTGGCCACAGTTCACTTGCCGTGTTGCAACCACGTTTTGGTGGATTCCTTTTAAATTGGCACACAAGAAGGAATTGCTTTTGATGAGAAGCAATTCCACGTGGCGCCCTTAGCCGTTTGTACTTCGTAATTTCAAAGCCGTAAAGCGGTGAGGTCTTTAGCATGGGTGCTGGCTCCAAGGCGAGGCAAGGCTAGGAGTTGGTCATGTGGAAAAAAAAGAAATGATATGAAGAAAAAAAGTTGGAAGAATCCATATCGGGCATCACTTTGAATGTGTGACTCCTTGCTTTGCTGCCCCTGGTTCCTGTGAGATGATCTCCACTAGCCGTATTCTGGGAGCCCCGCATGATAGATATGGTGGATTGGGCATTTGAGACAAGAGGGAGGGCACAGAAGTCATACTTCATGGTGATGATGTGATGATGTGGGAACTGCGAAATGGGCACCGGTCGCCCACAAGGCTGCAGAAATTTAAGAAGAACTTGATTTTGATTTGGGCATCGCATCGCATCGCTGACGTGAGGATGTCACGACGAGCTGGGCTGCGCAAGCAAGGTTTCCGAGGCCAATGAAGAAGAAGCCAAGATAAACAAATGAGAGAACATTCTAAATTTGGCGAAAATGTAAAAGAAGCATCCGAGGGGGGCCCTTTTTTCACTTCGGACTGATTGCTGTACGATAACTCAAACAAATTCGGAAGATTTCGAACGACATACCTCGTAATCTCTGTTTCTCCGCGGCCGTCTCAGCCAATAATACGAGTACTTTGGATTCTTCAGTGGCAGGTGTGTGGTGTGTGTGGTGTATGGAGTACGCAAGCAGTCTGCCATATGCTTATTCGCGCAGCAAAACAGATCGTGGCGGCCTTGCACATGTTTCAACAAATGCTAGGCACAAATAACCCAAGCTACCATGAAATGGAGCACGCAGTGAAAACACAGTGGAATTCAAAGTTAACAAAAAATACTGAAACATGATGATGTTGATCATATCATCATTTTCATGGTTCTACGAAGTACGCTTTCTTGTGATATGTTGCCGTTTAACCGATTTAAGAAGATGGCGCGATTGAGATTGCGGGGTTGACGTTTCGTCTAATGGTCAAACAAATCAGTATCCACCCATACTCCTTTCTTTTCTTGGAAAGTCGCAAGCAGCATCTTCACGCGTGGCAAACGCGAGGAATTTTTTGAGCTCGAAGCTCGGGATAGCATGCTGATCATTACAATATTCGATATGGGCTTCTTCTTTGGACCTAATTGATATCGCTTCGATCGTCGTACTCCATACGAAACAGCGGGAAGTGAGCTGGCAACTGAGAAAGTTGCGACTCCAATCTGCCGAAATGCGCCAGCATGTCAACCATCATCTGGTGGGGGCATCTGTGTGGCCGTAATCCATTCTTCCATCATTGCGTGAGAACCGTCTGTTGCTGGTCGCTTGCCTTTGTTGTCCTTCCGCTTAACGACTAAGCAGAGCACTCTCCCGTAAATAGAAAAGCCTTCATACGATACATCCATAGCCATTTTCTTCTTATCGTCAACAAACTCGGCGTTATCGTTTTCCGTGTCCTTCCTCCGTTTTGTTGATGGTTCCGACTCGGAAAGGGATTCTGGTTGCGAATCGCTCTGGATGGAGGCCCTCGAACGTTTCGACCTTCGCGGGCCAACATCCTCATCCACAAATAGAGAATCTGCGTCAGCCTCAGCTACCAAGGGTATTTCGTGGAGCGCATCCAAGCCATCGTCTTCACTATCCTCTCTTTGTATCGGTGGTATGTCGTCCACCTCAATCGCATCATCGTTACTATTTCCGGTCAATTTCTGCGAATTCGAGATCAACTGCTTTGGCTTCGTCTCCCGGAAGTGCTTATGTTTGGTAAGAAGGGAATGCCGAGTACTTATTTCGGTCAAGAAAATGGACACCTCAAAATCCTCTATACAGTCAGCGCAGCCATGATTCGAGGAGGTCTGAAGCATACCCCCAGCAACAACATCCTTGACCCCCTTCTTCCTTCCCCCCTTTGCTCTGCTGCGCTCGTTTTCCTCACGAAGTTTGGGCAATACCAAAGGTCGAACGCTTTCCATAACGCGAGGCAGCACCGGGTTTCTCGAATTCAACAGCCAGCTCTCAGCTAAGGCCGGATTTTCGACATAGATGCGGCATTCTAGCACAGAATATTTGGTGATGCGCAAGTACCTCCGTATTGGCGCCATGGTGACATCGCCATCTGTAAAAGGGTTGAGTTTGAGGGTTGTGGAATGAACGAGGCAACAAGGCCAGAGGAGCTAAGCACCTCCAGCTGCATGGAGGGGTAGTACCATTCACGTGCCACCCCTTGAATTTACAGACAAGGGGCCACCAGCGCTACTACGGGAAACTCAACCATGTACGGAGGTAGCTCATGAACATGTAATTCACTATGCTACTTAATTTTCTACGAAGGCTCAAATGTTTTAGAATTTTAGAAAAGTCTGAGATACCTTCCACGGACACTATTTAATAGGATATCCTTCTAAATTCGTTACTACTTTTAGCTATTACATAACAATTATAGCCTATTCTACCACCTAACTAATATATATAGGCTAGAGTGCGACTTAACTAATTTCTTGTAAGCAAAAACATTACCTGTGTACTAGGGTTAGGGTTACTTTCTAGTGCTTTCAATATAACGTGAATCTAGTGGTATAGAGATATCTACCAATATCGAGTAGAGGAAGTAAACAAGTTCGGAATATAGTATAAACGTCGATTATAGATCCTCAAGAGGTAGAAGCATTCGAGTTCTCATAGTACTCAAACAAGTGAGGCTATATATAGCTTATTAAGGAGTAGAGTATATTATAATAGAAGTAGATAGTAAACAAGTTATAATAAAATCAAGCAAGGTTTACTACTTAAAATAGACCTCTTCGAGATTCTAAAGATCCTTCGATTTAGAGTAGATGTTTCCAAGGAATAAGTTGATAATAACTAAGTACCTAGTGTCTGAGTAATATTTCTATCTAATAAAACAACAAAAACGCACGAGTCTATCTAACTATATAATTATCTACAAATAACAACTGACCCTCTAAAATACTGATATTAACGAAGAAAAAAATCATCTACTACCCCTATTCAACATATTACCATAAAACACCTACTTATCTCAAAACACTTCACAAGTTCTAATTCAATCTCTCGTTTCTAACTACCAAAAACTTCCCATCTATCTTCCCAGGAACCAAATCAAGATAAGAAGCTCACCACGAACGAGTATGCAAACTACATTTCGTACAAGACTGAGACTATCACGATATACTCCTCTATAGAGATCAAGACAGGATCAGGAACCAAAGATTACTATTAGCTAATTACATAGTGCTTGGAGCTAACAGAAATGAAAGGTGCTCTCGTAGCTAGAACTATAAATTCCCTCAACACTAGTTATCTCGAATATAATGAGATACCATTTTATTGTGTACGAGAGTATTGTGTCGTTGGATCTTACTTAGCTCAATTGGGCTTAAATAATGAAGACTGGGAGGTACTTTGTGCGGTGAAAGGGAGAGAGTTCTAAAAAGTTAGGATGATTGGGGAAGTAGATTTCTTGGTCTTTTGGATCCCTTTGAATAGTATGGATTGGTTTTGGTTTTTGTATAATGTTAGGAGAGTAAGTCTAAGAAGACGATAGAGAGAACTTTGGGAAACTATTAGTGTATAGAGAATAAGAAGGAAGTAAATATATTTCCACTACTCGAGTATGGCTCCGTGATTGAAACTTGGTACGAGTAGTTAACTTACTACTCCATATCATCTATATAAGCACATCATTCTAGACGATGAAAACCAGTAAGGAAGTTTTAAGTTATACAGTCTATTCCCTATAATCACCAAGTTCTTTTGTTCCTATCGTACAAACTCCAGTCTAACCATCCCAAATTCCCAACCCCCCCCAAACATAAAACAAATCCCATCCCAAAACCCAAGCCAGAACCACCAACTCCAAAATCCAAATCCCAATGCCCTATCAAAGCGCATAAACATACCTGGGACTCTTATCTCCCAACTCCGCAATCTCATCCTCACTCATCCCTGCCACCTTCCAATCCTCCCTCCCCTCCCTCCTCCGCCTATTCACCACCTTATAATAAAACGACAACCCCGCAAAGAGCCCCGCAGCCGTCGTCGACGCCGCAATAATCACCCCATACCCCATGGTATAGCGAGGCGCATCCCGATCCTGGAACAGGAACGGCGACACAATGCCCGCGACATTGCCCATCGTGACTTGCGTCGCGATGGCGAACGCTCGCTTGCTGTATCGTGGTTTGTTGCCCCCTAGCCACGCGAGAGGCAGTCCGACCGTGACGTACATCCCCATGGCGACTACGAAGCAGCCTGCGTAGGAGAGGGCGGAGTTGGTGCTTGCAATGAGCATGCAGAATCCTACGACTGATACCATGGCGAAGCTTGCGGCGTAGGGGCCGCGTCGGTGTTGGCGGTCGCTTATGTAGGCTATGACGAGGAAGACGATGGTTCCGAGGGCGTAGACGGGAACGGTTAGGGCTTCTGGGAGGTGGATTAAAAACAGAGAGCTAGAAGATGGTGATAGAATGAAAACCAAAGGGCCATTCGAAGCATTGTGAATGAGGAAGCGACGGTAGTTACAGGCAAGACTTACGAGCTTGAAGTGATGTCCAAGTACCAGTCCCTTTGATGATACTCGGAAGAAAGGTACTGAACCCATACAGCATAAGATCATTACAAAACTGACAAAATCCAAGCATCCAAATTTGCCAATCCCTCGTGCCTTCTTTGACATCTTTCCAATGGAACTCCTGCCCCGAGGCAGTTTGACCCACCTCTCTCATTTTGGCCTCAACCAAGAATGCGCGCTCTTCCGCTGACAGAAACTTTGCAACATCAGGACTATTCGGAAATACAAAGTATGCTGCAATTCCAAGGAAGATGGCTGGGAGACCTATAATGTAACGATATCAGTAAATTGAATCCAAATACCCATAAAACGCCAACAAAGATGATAGCATGGAATTAATTACCTTCAATGATCATTAACCAACGCCATGCCCTGAGACCCGCGATCCCATCCATATATCCAATCGCATATGAAAGCATACCCCCAACACCCCCAGAGAAGGCCGATGCACAAAAGAGATATCCAACCCTCAAGGCAAGTTGTTCCCGAGTATAAAAGAGCGTAAGATATGTGACAAGAGCCGGTATCAAACCCCCCTCAAACAAACCCATGAGAAGTCTCACGGCAATCAATCCTGCAAAATTCTGCACGGCGCCGGTGAGTGTTGCTATGCTACCCCACGCCAGGGAGAGGACAAGGAAATAGACACGCGGCGTGGCTTTTTTGAATGTCAGATTCGCGGGGACTTCACTCAACTGTAATATAATAAGTCAATTAGCTAACATGTCATCTTAATTGAAAAAAAAAAAANAAAACAATAACTGGAATAACACCCTCTCCGCAAGATGGGAAGAAACTTACACAATAAGTAACAAACAAAATCGAAACAGCAATCTGATACTGATTCCCCTTCAACCCCAGATCCTGCTGCAGACCATACAACTTCGCATTCCCAATATTGACTATTACACCAATTAGCCCCTCTCCCCTAAACTCTCCCCACCATCTCATTCCCAGATATCAGATCAACCAACTCACCTCGATCCAAGAAACTAAACATATAGAGCAACATTGTCAGAGGGATGATATTGCGATCGATCTTCCTCGCCAACTTCTTCTCCTTCTCCTTCCACACCCCCTCTTCGAAATCCGAAATTGAGCCATTTTCAATGATGTGCTCCTCCACCTTATTCCCTTCGCTCGAGGGCCTAGACGAAGAGAACTTCACTTCTTCAGTCGCCATTATGGAACAATACCAATTGGGGGATCTTGCCTGCAAAAATGGTCAGCGGCAGTCGTAGAGGGGTAAACATAGAGAGGCAACAACCAACCCGGGGATTAAAGTATCATACGATGGGTGACTTTTATTGAAGTATTATTACTGTAGAGAGAGAAAAAGTAGCGGATGATCAGCTAGCTCATGTACCAAACTGTACAAAAAACCAACTCAAGATACTCCACTCGAACAGGCATCAGACGGGGTATATGTACTCCCCAACCCACCTTATCTCCTCACCCAAAAGACGAAAAAGTAAAGTGACATTTAAACATCTATACTCGGACGCACTGTGCAGGAATGACGCCGTACAGGCATAAATGGGATGCATCCATCCAGAAAGTTTCGCCAGAAGTGGAGGGGACCACCCGTACCTCCAAGGGCCCTAAAAACCATATTCGCGTAGCTAGCTGGTGACGCGATAAGAGGTACCAACCTCGAGTCCTGCGCAGATAATGCTCCTTTGCTCACAGCTCACACCAAAAGGGGACCGGCGATACCTAAACAGAGGATTATCCCTATAGGAAATCCCCTTTCTGTAGCGCGTAGCGCGTCGGGACCTTCGGGAATAATCTGAAATATAGCACGTTTCCAGTAGAACCTTCCAAAGAACTAAACTAACCACCTACTGCACTTGGGAAAGCCAATTGAATTGCAACTCGCAATGTTTGCAAGCCAGGAAGAACGCTTACCTACCTAGTATTTCTTCATGCTGGGAGAATCCATTGTACCTCCTGCGGGGTTTTGATAGGCCTATCACCACATTAGAAAGCTTAAAATAGAAACGCTCGAGATAAAGTACCCCCAGGCGCAAATGGAAGATCCTACAGTACTCGTACTGTACTTTGTAGTCCAACAAGCCAACGAGGGCAGTGTATCCTTCAGGACGGGACATAGTACTCGTAGCTCAACGGCAAGACAAAATGACGCTCTCGTATACCCAAACACTTACCAACAGCACAGTACAAACGCCTCGCTACCCTAACCGAGTTACCTGACAGCCCCAAAACATCAGACAAAGACAAAAAACCCACAAGAGAGACATCATACCATCAAATACAAAACCATCATAACCCAAAAATACCGGCTATCACGGCAGAGAAGCCCATCCTATGTAATCTACCAGGACGATGTGGGACGCATACCGAACCCCATCCATTGAGTTTGGACAGTATGATTTCATCTTCCAGGCGTATCGCCGTAAGCGATTTATGCTTATGCGCCTTAATGCGTCTACTGTCATCCGCTTGAGCGTGCTATCGTTTATCGTTCCTCGTTCCTTCGTAAACTCTGCTGAGAAGCTAAAGACCCGAACTTTGCCGGCGCTAATTATTGCGAAAATCACACCTTAAATGCCCAATCTTAGCCCAACTTATGTCAACGCGTACCTATGTAACAAGCGAAAATCGGATGAGAAAATTGTTTGATTGCTACTGTACCTCGAAGTATAAACAACAACAATACCTCAACGGTCGTTCCCAGATAATATGAAGCCCGCATTAATATAGGGGCAAAAAAAGTAAACGCCATTCCAAGCCTGCGCGTTCTTGAGTGAATATCCAGCGAAAATCCTGCTGGGATCTCAATACTCCATACATTGAAAATTCCTTTGCGATTACCCAAATCAAAACGCCATCTCGGAACCCACGTTTTCCAACACTAATACCCAGAGAGAAGAACCTCTGTGGCGACAGTACTTCATTCTCGCCTGTCCTGTTCTGCAATACAATCTTTTCACCTCGGACTAATATCCAAACCAAAAACGCCCGCGAATCGCATATCTCCAAGTGACTCCGAGGCCAATACCAACAAGAACCATTACAGGTAGATAACCATCTTTCTGTCTGTCGAAACGTATACAGACCAAAACTCCAACCCAAAATTCATGCCTTGAAACTTGTGATGGCGAAGAATGATCCACTTTATGATTGCTTCCAAAAGCCAGTACCGATTGTTCTCTCCTATTTGACTCCGTGTTTGACATCTTCCAAAGCGTAGAGCTCTTCCTTGACCTTCTGGATGCGATCCGTAAGCCTCTTTAGTCCCTCCTCATGGCGCCGGTGATTTCTTCGTTGCATCGAAGGATTGAGATTAGAATAAGACGTGAACAGAGCATTGTGTTCCTCTACCAAGGAATCTAGAGTTGATTGTGCATTCTTCTTGAGTCTCCTTAAAGCGTCTGCAGGAAGTTCTGAAGGTCGGGCAGTTGCTTCTTCGGTATAGCTGTTCTTGATGTCGGGAAGAATAAATGCAGAGCCTGTGATCTCGATGTCGTCTCCCTCAACGTCAACATCTTCCGTCATATCTGCATCCACTCTTCTAGTCACAGCTGGTGCATCAACATCCGTCCTCGTGCCCATTGTAGGCTGTGTAAAGTCGCCAACCGAAATTCCAGACATTTGCGTAGTATGGCGAGTTATATTGCGCGAAACATTGGAATGGTGAGAGACGTTCGTGTGTCGAGTGACAGAAATATTGGTATGGTGTGTGGCGTCCTTTTGCGCGGCTGCTGCGTCCAGTTGGGCCTTCAGAGCACTCGGATGGTATTGCTTTACATTTGGTGATACATCAAAGTTGTTACATGCATCTTCACCGATATTTGTGGGTTTCTCGGCTGAAGCTGTAGGTTGTTTCTTGATTCCCTGTGCGGTTTGGCGAAGCTCCTCGTTTTCCTCCTTGATCCTATTGAATTTCTGCACAAGGTCGCTGTTCTGCCGACGCAAGATAGTTGATTGTTGATGGTACTGTTCAATTTCAGCAATGTATTGACCTTCCTTCATCACAATGTCGCTGTGCTGGCGGCTTAGGATCTTTTTCTCTTGTGTCGCTTGTTGGTATTGCTGCTCAATTTGAGCCATATACTTGTTCTCTTTCTCGAGGGAAGCCACGTGTTTCATCGTCATTGTCAACTCTCGTTCAAGATCCACATTGAGCCCTTGGAGAGAGACAGCGCGTTGTTCCAGCTCAGTGTGCGTCTTCTGCAAGAGACCATTCGCTGCCTTCAGCTGCGATATTTCACTTTGTTGACGTTCAATTTGATGTTGTTGGGTTGTGATTCGACTCTCAAAGCTCTCTTTTTGAGATTCTGAGCGGAATATTCTCTTTTTCAGGGCATCAATGAGTTGGTAGATATCTTCTTCATCGTCCGGTACAACAATGGAGTCAACGGGGCCATAATTTGCGTTATGTAAGGAAGCCTTTAGCATATTGCGATCGTGAGCTTTGCCATTTTGAGTAAAGTTGGGCAACCCGTTGGTGAGGGTGTTTCCAGATGCGCTGGCATTATGACCAGGGGTACCAGGAAAGAAAAATGATTGACTGGTTGGATTTGTCGTGGCTGTAGCTGCAGCAGAGGTTGCAGCAGCACCAGTGTTCGTGGTTTGTGTAGTTTGTGTATCAAAGTTGTTGAAAAATGCTCGTGTTCTCGACTGGCTCTTTTCGCTCGTGGGGCATGGAGATGATTGCTCATTGAATTTGGTCTTGGAAACCACAGCAGGAGTAGGGTGTTGATCAAAACGATGCCTCTTTGACGAAACATTAGAAGCAGCAGGAACGGGTCGATTAGTTAAGCCGGGCAGGTTGAATTTGGCGGGAAAGGCGGCATTTGAGGACTGTTTTGCAGTAGCGCCCACGAATGAAATATCAGAAGTCTCAGTGGTTTGCGTGACTGGTAAGGCCTGTTTTTCTGGATAGACAGCACTCGCAGGCCTTCTCGCAGAAAGGTTCATGAACGAATTCTCGGAATCCTCTGTGACCTGTGCTTGCAGATTTGCGAGTCTGCTGGCATTGGAAATATATGGCGAAGAGTGTTTGGGCGAACGCGTTTGTTTCCGTAGCTCAACCGTCTCTACGACGTGGACGTTTGAGGACTTGCGATTGTTTAGTTGGGAGAAGGATTTTACTGCCGGTGCTGCTCGCGAAGTCTCGAGAGATAGACTCTGGCTGTTCTCCGCGTCTGAAAACTCAGGAAAAGCTTTGCCTATTTGTGATGTATTGATATCCCAAGTGTGCTGCGGAGATACTCGTTTAAAGCGATCGTATTTGCTTGCCGTTTCACGAAGTGCTGGTAGCTTTTTTGCGAGACCTGCGCTGACTATGGGCAATGTTGACATTTCGGCATCGTCGCGACGAGGATCGAAAGTGGTATCTCTGGTAGTGTCGGTGCTGACCGTACCATGATTAGAGCCTGTTGAGGAGGCGGGAGAGTGGAAAGAGTAGGGACGATTCTTTTCGCGATCCATTCGGGCGCCAGAGTGCCTGGCTGCCATTTCCAAGGGCGCGACTTTATTGGCGGTCAGTGACAATTCGAAAGGTAGTTGATATGGAGACGTAATCGCGTGAGAGTCAAGGCCACGTACTTGGGAATTGTATGCAGTTATTGAGGCGATAGTGTTTCTGTTTCTTATAAACTTTGGGCGTGGACCGGGCCGTGGTGGTTGGTGGTTGGTGGTGGTGGGGGGGGCTCGATTGTTTACTTTTAGATTGGCAACTCCAAAGCTGCGGTCCGAGGGAATGCGATGCAGTGCGATGATATTCGGTATTCGATTCGGAGGGAGATTTGCTACGTAATTAGATGCTCTTCATTCTGCTGCAATTGACGATATTGCGAAGCGGCCGGTGGTGGTGGTGAGAAGATCGTGAGGTGGAAGTGGTGAGTGGAGAGAAAGTTGGAAGGAAAGAATTGGTGTGTCTGTGTTTATCTCCAGACGCGACCAAATAAGGTGTTGCCGTCGCGTACCGTGACAATACCCTTCCCTTCGGGCCATCGGCAGTTTTGGCCGACTTCCCGAGTCCTGCAGTACCTTCGGCTCCGTACTGCCGTACTGCGTCTTGACACCCTGAGCACTCTCCTCCCTGGTGCTCCATACCACCTGCATACCTATCCATAATTTTCTACGGCTCTGCCTATGCTTCACCACTTTCAACCACCAACAACATGGCGCAAGCGATCAAGGATAGTTTCCTTGATCTGGAGCGTCACCGCAAACGACTCGAGGAAAATGTCGAGGAGTTGCGCAAGTCACTGCGACACTGGCAGACTTGGGAGGCAGAGTACGAAGGCTTGAAAGAAGAAATCTTAGCCGTCAACCCCGCACCGGATGCCACCCAGTTGCTAGAGATTGCTCGCAATTATGAGGGTGAGCTTGTCAATCAGAAAGAGATGGCTGAGCTTCTGGGCAGTACCAGTAATACCCCACGAACGTCGGCGCGAATCGTGAATCTCCTCGATCGACGGCTGGACTATTGCGAGCAGAACGTTTTCTCCATTCAAAGGCAGATTGAGACGGCCGAGAAGAAGTTGATATCAGCGACCATCATCAGCACCCCCGATGTGCGGAACGAAGAAGGCCTGCCATTGACTGAGATCGTGGAGGAGCTTGATGAGGAAGGAAATATTATTTCGAGTCACACCTCTACGCCTGGAAGCTCGAAGCCGCAGCTTCTTGAAGTTTTGAAGAAAGCCGGCTTGAAAGATATACCAGAAGGTTCATTGCCGGAGCCGGAAACTTCAAGCGCAAAGCAAGAAGAAAATGAAGGAAAGAAAGAAAAGGAAGAAAAGGCTGTAGAGCCACCCAAAGCAACAAAACCTGCGAAGAAGGGCGTCAAGTTTGCGCCCGACACAAAAACAGGCCCCGACGAGAAGAAATCTCAAACAGCAGAAAGAATAGAACAAATCATGAGCATTGCAAAACAAAACCAGGGCAGGCCCTCAGAGCCTCCAATCATTCCTACAAACGAGAGTCCAGAGGATGCAGCTCTTCGACAAGATATGATACAATACAGTTTGTCAGAAGTCGGAGCTGTAGTGGCAGAGTTGGAACTTGAAGAGGGCAGCGACTGGAGTCAAGACGAGTACGATGACGAGATTAGCGATACTGACGACGAAGACGAGTATGGACGTTCTACCGGTCGAGTGGTCAATGATAAAATCAGGAAACAAATGCTCGCCTTGGAAGCCAAGCTCGGAATTAAGGGTATGAGAGATATCAAGGAGGAATCCAGCAATGTAGAATTTGTGAAGGAAGGCATTGGACGCATTACCATCAAAGGAGATGATACCGAGTCGAATAGCAACACCGGCCATTCAGCTGCTAGCGAGGGCAGTTCCCCAAAGAAAGCCGTTAGATTTTCCGAGGAGATTGATATCAATTCAGACCCCCCACCACCTCCAACTCGTCAAACTCCGAAGACGGCCTCTGTAGGCAATGTCATAGAGCGAACCCCAACTTCCCAACCATCTCTGCCTACGGCACCCAAAAAGTCCTCTCGCTTCGCCCAAGAGCGAGCTGCACGAGCAAACAACTCAATATCTGCTAATCCAATGTCTCCCAACCAGCGATTCCCAATCACAAACCAATCAGAACCCATCGAGCAACTCACCCGCACCGTCCCAACCGGACCTGAAGGCAAAATCCTAGCCCCCGAAATCGTTGAACACGATATCCCACTCGATGCCTCAGCTACGGAACCAGACGAATGGGACCCCCAGCTTTTACATCAGGAAGTAGCTACCGAGTACCACAAGATGCGGAATCGAATGATTCAACGCGAGGGTGGGTTTATGAAAGAGGATGAGAGTGAAATTGTACCTTTTACAGAGGAGGAAGGGGGTCCGAAGAAGATGAGTCGGTTCAAGGCAGCGAGATTAGCTAGTGCTGGTAGATAGGGGGGGTATGAACCACTTTTATCTTCTCTCCCTCCTTTTTTCGGCTTGTCGGTGAAGTTTTTGGTTTTGACATGCTTTTACCTTCCCATTTACTAGTCTCCCCTGTTGGTTTCCTGAACATACCAAATATGCATGCCCCCCTCCTTCCCCACTTCCCCCTTATCCCACAACAAAAGGAATGCAAACCCACCTCCTCTTTCCCTCCCTTCTAGCAATAGAACCGAGAGATGAGCAGGTGCTCAATGTGAAGTAGTGAGCTCAATACTACCTTCATATTACCACACTTGCATTCCGAGATTGAACATTAGGGCTCTCTGACGTCGTGATCTTGGGATTCGTGGATTCCCCGCAAGGGGAGTTTACGGGTTTGCGCGGTGATTGCGGGGATTCGTTTCACCCTTTACATGAGGAAGGATTGGAGAAAGAAGTTGTTGGGGATGGAGGAAGGGGGGAAAGGAAGAGAGGGGAAGGGGGGAGGTGGTTGGGATACAGTAGGAATACTACAAGATGTCGTCAATCTCACCCCTCAAAAATCCGAAATCCAAATTCTACGAATGGAAATGCCGTGATATAACGTACCTCTACCCCTTACGTTTCCACGCTTAGACTTACGATCATGAATATGAGGTTACTTCAGCTAATATACGTGATAGACTTTTCCTTTGCCACCTTTTTTTGATTTCTTCATCCTTCAATCTCGGGGTTGAGTGTCCAGGCACATCTCGTATGTAACTGTATTCCGTGTTTAACGACATATAGTCTGGAGGGTACTGTATACTTGTTCATCGGGCTCTTTATGGGAGGGGATGTTGGATATGTTTTCTTCTTATATTAGAGAGATAGATGGCTTGCTTGTGAGCATGTAAGCATGTGAGTGGCCAGTTAGATGTCTAAGCGATGGATAGGGCACGAGGAAGATGAGGAGAACGATGCTCTGGAATGACATGCAATACTATACTATATAGATTCTCATGCTTGGCGCTCGAATCTTGTCTAGCTAGCTTGTTGATTCAGTCGCTTGAGTTTCGACGACGGTCTTGTATTGGCCTGGGGTCAAATGCTTCTTGCTTCTACGAGTTCCAAAGCGATGCAGCAAGGAGTTCACAGTCTACGGAATTGACCAGCTTATCAAGATACAACAGAGTATTGTCTTGTGCGGGCGGCCAGGTCGGTGTGGTTGGACATAGTAATTTGTAGACTTGCTTCCATCTGTAGGTTCTAGAGTGAGGGGGTTCATAAAGTAGTCACCATTACCGCCATTCACCTGTCTAGCGAGGGGGTAGACGGTGACTCAGAAGGTAAGAAAGCTTACAGTATAAACTAAATGGCAAGTCGACTAGGAAATACCGAGATGCATAAGAAACACTAACGGTCCATTATCTTGGGAAGAAGTGCGTATTGCAATCACTAGAGTATTGGTACTAAGGAACGCGGAGACTTGTCGATCGAAAGCTGCTAATCTGAATTCACCACAGACTTTCCGTAGGAAATAAGGAGAGGCTCTGATCCCAAAACAGCCAAAACCCCAACAAAAAAACACCGAAGAAAAAAAGACAGACGTATTATAATCTTTTTGTTCCTAGACAGAATTAGTAAGTGCGTTTTCTTAGAGTATTAAGGAGAACTTACATTTACATACGACCGAGCGGTCTGACGCTTGACCAGGGCGCGTCCAAGTTAACAGGAGGAAACAGTCGTGGTGTTGGCGCTTGTGGGCATTGGTGCATATGGGAACACACACTAACTGACTGGGCTAGGCGGGCAGGTTACCAGTTTTGATGGTGGTGGTTGTGGTATTTCGAGATATCAATGTTATTGTGCGACTTTTGTGGGGCTGGGGGCTACGCGAGGGGCGCTTATTGGCTGCGGGGAAATTTCGGTTCTGTTTTGTGGGCTTGCACGATGATAAACTGAGATACCCCTGAATTCAAGGGGTGCAATTTAAGGGGTATCTCGGTCACAAGCGAATTATTTTAGGGTTCTCTCAGGTTATAATATATATAGGGTTATCTCAGTCAATTACCATATAATATTACTTTTTCTTTCTCACCTAAAGCTTTCACTACGAGTCTAACATGACACATTGAGAAAAAGACCAAAGTATAAAGATACCAATGAGCATAAAATCCATTGAAAAACCCCACAGGCATCTAACCTTGCTAGCTATCTTGGACCCTATATACCCAACACCCCCTTCCCCTACATCAAGCAACTCAACCCCCGAAACGCCACCGCAATGATCCTCAAGTGGATGAAAGGGCATGACCCATTCATCTCACTCTCGATTTCGTCGATGACCAGACCAGCTATACCAGACCATGCCGGTCTGTCTAGACTAGCTAGTCCTAAAGATATCAGAAAACAAAAGGAAGAAAAGTACGCCAGGATCCCTATACAAAGTATCTTTGTCGGTGGAGAATGTAATGATCAACAGAAGATGGTGACAGAAGAAGGGAATTCATGAAGAGCGATGCAAGAAAACCAGATAATTTAGTAGCGAAGTTGAAACTATCTAGTAAGGTGTTCCAGATCCGGTGCCAGCAGCTCTAGCAGGACCAGTGACATAAGGTCTCAAAGTCCCGGTGCCAGTGGGTCTAACAGGATTAGCGAGATATGGCATCAAGGATGCGGTGCCAGCGACTCTAACGGAACCAGTACCATAAGGTCTCAAGGATCCTGTACCAGTGGCCCCGGGTCTAGTATAATTTCTAGCGGGGGAAGAAGAAGCAGCTACCGAGGCAACAGGTGCGTATCCCAGAGCCTTGATGATTCCAGTGGCATTGGCAGGCATCATGTAGACCATTCCATCCATGGTAATCTTCGCACCGGACTTGTATGGTATACCGTTAACTGGGAAGGCTCCGGCGTCAGTGACGGCTGGTACGTCAGGGCAGACACCTCCTTCGGGGTTTCCACCGAGGGTTGGTTTGGGGATAACAGCAGTTTGGATGTCAGTAACGGTCTGTAACCTGGTTCTGGTGGCTGTGCGGATCGAGGTGATGGTTGTTGGAACTCCGCCTGGGGGACTACTGACTGAGATGACGGTTGTGAGGTCTGGTGATGACTCGTTTGGTGGTGATCCGTATGGTGTGCCATTGTTACCGCTGTTCTCAGAGACTGAAGTCGCTCCTGGGTATGGGAGTGTAATCACTGAGGTAATGGTAATGGGTGGACCACCGGCCGCTGGGGTAGATGTTTGGATTTTGGTTGAAACAACACCGCCATTGCCGTTTGGTGGTGATCCGTATGGTGTGCCATTGTTACCGCTGTTTTCAGACCCTAAAGTTGCTCCCGGGTATGGGAGAGTAATTACTGAGGTACGGGTAATAGCTGGGCCGCCAGAAGCTGGAGTAGATACCTCATACTTGGTTGAAACGATATTGCTTGGGGCAGGTTGGGCTTCAGATACTGGGCAGATGGTTGTGTACAAAGCACTACATTAAATTAGCATACATTTTCTCTTTGTTGAATCAAGAGGAGAATAGAAGATTGCTTACATTGTTTGAGTGGTCACGGCACCGACTGGGCAGTTAGTCACAGTAGGCGGACACCGGGTAATTGTACTGATTTTGGTTGTGTATACGGTCGAGGTGGTCATAGGAACTTTAGTGGTGTTGGCATAAGGACCAGGAGCCTGGTAGCTTGCAAGAGGGGGAGTTCCGGAACCAGATGGCACAAAGTTTGGGCGAGGGGTGATATAAGCTTGTTTGGAAGTAGTGGAAGGCTTGCTGGTCACAGTGTTGTTGGAGAATGGGCCTTCAACATAGGTATGGACGTTGAGTCCACCTGATGGAACGATGCTACCAGATGGAATCAATGGCTTAGAGACAATTCCGGTTCCATATGGGGTCAAGCTTGGTTTGCTAGAGGCGGTCGCACCGGAGTTTTGAGAAACGGCGCTTGAAGAAATGTTATAGACCGGAGTGTGGTTCGATGGCTTGCTGAGGTATCCAGTTGGCAAGAGAATTGGCTTGCTGGTGGCAGTGACTCCGGAGTTTTGTGAAACGCTTGCATTGGGATGGGTATAATTTACTGGCAATCCAGTAGGATATGGAACAGGCTACGAAATGTCAATTAGGGGATTTCATAAACAGAAAAATGAACTCACATGGACAGTTTGTGTGCTTGTCGCCGAAACTGTGATATCTCCGGTTTGAGTAACAGGGCAAGTTGTGGTAGAGACAGTTATTTTGGTCACGACTTGACCATTGGTGCAACCTGGATTGCCTGAACAAGATGTGATAGTTTCGACGATAGTGGAAGTGACCTGAGATATAGTCATGGGTACCGCGTAGGTCAAAGTAGTCTTTGGTACGCTAGAAGTCTTTGTGGAATTTCCAGCGGTTACTTCAGCACTACTGGTAACGATAGCTACACAATTAGAATTTTGTTTTTGAGGTGAATACACTAATGACTTACTGGCTGTTGGCTTGCCTTGATCGTTGGTCAAGGTAACGAATCTTGGGATGGTACGAGTATAGAGTAACTCAGATGTCATGACCTCGTAGTCATAAGCTGTACGAACTTGTTGCAAATCTGGGACCTCTCCCTCTCCCTGCACGGTACCAGCAGCTGCCAAAGCAAACGACCAAAGATAGGCTCCCTTCATCTTGAACGAGTGTGAGTGTTGTTCTGTTATTTTTGAAGTAAAAGCTTCCAAATAACGCGATCAACGAGTGAGTGGATGAAAAAAGTCGACTGGCGAAGTTCTTTGGAAAAGACAGTGAGAAAAAGAGTGAAAAGACTGAAAACCCAGAAAGAGAACCAAAGAGAGTGAGATGTACAATGCTGCTGGAGAGAATAGATTACTGGAAATCTCGCTGAGTCTTATAATCAAAAGTAATGAATGTGGCCTAGAATAGCTGGGCACAGGAGCCATAGGAAGCGGGGCATGGATCTGGATAACGAGTGGTTATTTTATAACCCTGCAACGAGAAGCTCAGATGAAGTTGATCCAAGCCCCCACCAGATAGTAGACACCCTGCAGCGGATCATGATTTCAGCACCAGAATTGAGTGAGGATTCTGGATTTGCCAGTATCGTGAGTCTTTCCAGTCCTTTCGCTTAGCATGACGAGGGGCTTCCTGGGGGTCAGGGGTTGGATCCTCGGCGGACGAACCAATCAGGAGGCTCGTTTGGAAGAAGGGACCAACATCGCGCCAATCCTTTCACGGCACGGTGGAAACAATCTCCCTCAGGATGAATGAAGCTGCGGTGGAGAAAAAAATAGAGAATTTCTGTAACCGAAAAAGGTGCTGCGTATTCTCTAGCCAACGAAGGAAAGATGGGCTTAAGAGTGGTTGTGCATAGGGCGATCACAGTACGTAGCGGGGAAACGTTGGGAGAGCTCAACATGAAACTTCCGCTACGGAGTCCCTTGATTGGTGTGAGCGGAATTATGTGAAGCAAAAAAAGAATAACCAAACACAAGCTTTGAACAATCTTGGAAAATAATGCAAACTTCAACGAGTCGCAAAGAGGATAGGAGACGACAAAAAAAAAGAAAACAATTCGTGATGCGGCTTACGCGGGAAGATTAGGGGCGTTTCGGGATTGCGGCGTCAAGTTAAACAGAACATCAAGAAGAGGCTCATCCGTTGACCTGTACGTAAGCTCTCATGTTCCTGGTGGCTTACGTACAGTTCCTTTCCAAAGTCGAGGGTGATAAGAGCAATTACATTTGACAGCGTGACAAACGCTCGCTTCAAGGATTCTCCAAGGGTACTGTAATTGTACGAAGAGTGCTTCCGCTGGTCTTTGGGGGATCAACGGTATCCCAACCCAGTGAATGGTGATAGGGTCAAATGCGGCTGTGTTCAGCGAGATTTTGTCGGTAGTCCAGATTCCATCGTGTCTGCTGGTCCCGACTTACACGAACCCGAGCAGTACGAGCAGGCGAGTTGGCAAGGGTATAAACAGTAAGCTGGTTGCGAGCAACGATGTATCTGGTTATTTTGGTCAATCGGCAAAATGTTTATTGCGGTTCAGGGTCCGGCCTTCCAAAGTTGATGGTTTATTTTTCCGGTTTCATGCTTCAGATTTTTTACTCCCTGTCCATCTGATATTGACGTTCGTCTGGAGAACAGTTACTAGACCGTTGTTGAGAAGCTCCATGTGGGATGAAGGTGATACAGGAATAGAGAGGGGTTAATGCATCGAGAACAACATCTTGAGGGAGACAGCCCGGCGATTTGAATAGAGATTGGCAGCAGGGACCGGACAACTCTATGGGAAGCGGGGAAACAGGTCCACCTCCGCGTTTTGTGGTGTTGAAAGGGAAATCCACTCGGTCCATAAACATCGCGGAAATGAATTCCTATATTGTATGTATGCGCCTAATTTGTCTCAAGTGTAACAAACGTTAAAACTTAGTGGAGCTTTTTATTCCACTTAAAAGTCCTATGTAAACCCACTAAATTTCAACGTTTTTTATGCCTGGGACAGCGTATATCGGGAGATCTACACTGCCAAGTCGGGAGTGATAGACTGTACCGGGTTTGTGAATAACCTACCCTACCTACTGTATTAACCTCACTGGAGAGTTTCAAGTTAACGTCACCTCTTCCTTCATCATCTCTCTTGTCAATGCTCTTCACTTTGTCTTTGGTCCTTTTTCTACATTCTTTTGGAACTGCGGAACCATTACATCAACCGTCGCATGAGGGTTTTTTGCTGTTCGAAACATCACCCCGCACTGAATAAATGTGGTAACAGATCATCGTTAAGCGTCCGTTTATGGAATCTACGTCCTAGAATTCTCCAAGTAGGTGCCGTCTTTCGGGAAATTGTTGCTTGATCACGGATTGTTTTATTCGGCTAGAGGCAGCTGCATGGTTGTTGCTGCCTTTTTCCTTCTCATGACAACGGTTTCCGTGATACCTGATATGGACCTCGTAATACGAGCCTGTTAGTAATTTGTGGTGTATGCCAAACTTCGTAAGTCATCTACAGTATTTCTCTGTCTTCCTCAAACCAGGCTAATGCTATTAGCATCATACCAAAGTAGTCGCTTGCACCGGCACGATCAAGCACTAGACTAATAACACGCTTCCACGAATGTAGCCAACGGCTTCTATTTGATGTTTGTCCGTTTGCTTAACCTCAAAAGTATTTCCAAGGACCAAGTAAAATATTGCTTCCAAACTCGTGAGCAATTCACTTATTAGACTCTTGCTTACATACAATCTTTTGTTGGTCTGAATTGCTTTGTCTTTTGACCCATAAACTCCTGGTTTATCCCATCCAAATCGCGTTCTTGCTGGATGCGAGATCGAGGGATGTCTTATCTAGAAGTTGTACCAAGTGGTACTAAAACGTTGCGCCAAACTGCTCAGGTGCAAGTCGGAATCCAAACCATTCCGCGATTCTCTAGTGTAAGCGCGTCATTTCTGATTTCTTATATCCAAATCTGTTTTCGGAGATGTATAATTTCCCCCCCGTCGGTATCCAATCTGAAAAAGTATCCCCTCTTAATCGTGAACGTTCGCAAACATGGCAGTCACATCTCGAATCAAGTCGCTCTTCCAGCAAAATAAAAACCCCCAGCAGAATCCGCACCTCGAATCACCAAATTTTGAACCGAAAGATTCAACTCCTGCAATTAACGTGGCCCAGCAGGATGGAGGGGTTATGGAAGAGCCTCCCCAAGGGGAATTGACTTTCGAGGAAGATACCCAAGGAGGGATGGGTCGGCATCTAGGATTACTCAGTACCACCTTTTTAATGTACAACTGCCTCCCTTGTCTTCCATTTCCCGATACAAAATCCCAAAATTTTCGTCTAAAACTTCCGTAAACGGCTCTGACCCCTCAAAAGAATAGGTCGCATAATAGGGACCGGAATATTCTCTACACCTAGCTCAATAGTCGCCTCCGTCGGCTCTGTAGGAGCAGCCCTTATGCTCTGGACAGTCGGCGCTCTAGTCGCCTTCTGCGGCCTCTTCGTCTGGCTCGAATTTGGTTGCATGTTTCCTCGCTCAGGAGGAGAGAAAGTCTATCTCGAAGCCGTGTACCGAAAACCGATACTCCTCATCACTATAATATTCTCCACACAAGCCGTGCTACTAGGATTCACTGCCGCGGGGTGCATCATATTCGCAGAGAACATCCTGGTCGCAGCAGGAGCTACGGTATCAGAGTGGAAACAGAGAGGGATAGCCATTGGTGTTATCACTTTCGTTACTATCTTGCATACTTGGTTTCCCAAGGCGGGAGTGGCATTGATGAATGTTCTGAGTAGTGGCAAGATTTTTATCTTGCTGTTTATTGTGTTTACTGGGTTTGTGGTGCTGGGAGGTGGTGTGAAGAGCGTTCCTGATCCTAGGGCGAGCTTTCGTGACTCGTTCAAAGGAAGTGTTGCTTCTAGTGGTCCTTATGCGACGGCTATGTTCAAGGTGCTCAACTCTTATTCTGGGTGGAACAATGCGGCGTATGTTTTGAACGAGGTTAAGAGACCGGTTCGGACTCTGAAGATTGCGGGTCCTCTTGGATTGGGAATTTGTGCTGTGCTGTATTTGCTTGCTAATGTTGCTGTAAGTGTCCTTCTGCTTTTGTTTGCCTGTGATGAAACCACATTCCTTCCTCCCACGAGACCAGTCTTTCTCCAAGGATTTTTTGAAGCTCTGAACATGTCGCTAAAAGAGCCCTCAAGTACTTCGCAGTGGCAACCCCAACAGAAATTGCCAAATCCGGCACAACAGTAGCCGCCTATTTCGTCGGGAAAGTCTTCGGTCCCATTGGACGAAGAATAGTATCCATCTTTGTCGCTCTCTCAGCTCTCGGCAATGTATTAACAGTAACCTTCGCACAATCACGAGTAAACCAAGAACTAGCGAAAGAAGGTGTGCTACCATGGGGAAAGTTCTGGGCAAGTAGCTGGCCAAATGGTGCGCCTGGTGCCGGATTATTGTTGCATTTCATTCCGAGTTTTATTGTGATTGTTGGGGTCCCGAGGGGTGATGCTTATGTGAGTACTTATTTTTCCTTTCAATAATGAACAGGAATTTTGCTCGACTCCCATTACTAGATCTTATAAGCAGCTTTCTTCTCCCGAAGGCCAAGAAGCACAGCTAACGAACCCCAGTCTTTTATCTTAGACGTAGAAGGCTACCCGACCTCGATTATGAATACTCTCGTCGTTGTCGGTCTCCTCCTCTACCGCTACCTTCCCGCCTACAAACTCGGCTCCCCAGCTCGACCCTTCAAGTGTCCTCTCGCAATCGCACTCTTCTTTCTAGCCGCCCAAGTTTTCTTACTCGTTGATCCATTCATCAAGCCGCCTAATGGAAAGGGCGATAACAGCTTGCCATATTGGTTGTATCCTATTGTGGGGATTGCAGTGTTGTTAGCGGGTGTTGCGTATTGGTTTTTGTGGAGGGTTGTGAGACCGTGGTTAGGCGGGTTTAGGTGGGTGGAACGGAGGGAGGTATTGAAGGATGGGACGGTTGTTAGGGGGTGGGAGAAGGGGAGGAGTGAGTAGGTGGTTATGGTGGTAAGGAGGGGTCAGAGAGAAAACTTGATATGATGTTAAGAGATAAACATAATATTTGTCAGCTCGGAAGTTGCGGTCCAATGTGACTTTATGCCATCGCTGTGTCAATGGACCCTGAGTTCCGTTGCTTGAAGACTGCAAATATTGTGAAGGGTGAAAGTATGAAGCGATGAATATTGCGAATTCCTTTGGTCCGAATGTTGGAGGTTGGTTTGGAATGCTTGACCTCAAACAAACCATGCTTCGGCCTGACTAGTTAGTATTGGTAGTATATCGGGGTGAGTTTTAACTATTTGTCAAGTGGTTCTGATAAATATTCGGCGAGATTCAATCACTCTCCGTGTTTTCCAGGTCTATCTTATATCGAATTGAGTCACATGCCCATTTCAACAAGACTAATTCTCATTTAATTTCTTGGTTCCTCCCTGTTAAGATTGGAATATCAGGTAAACCATAACGATTCTTTTAAGGTTTCGTTATTTCCAGCCCTGGAGCCTTCCCAAGACACAATAACCACGTGATCAAGTTCTACTATGACCAGCCCCAGCCACTTGCCCCCAAAAGTCGACATATCGACAATCGGTTAATTTAGGATAAAGATGTATGCGACATATTGTCTGGTCAAAGAAAAAACGGTAATCATCGATGGAAAAGTTTCGGCGCGCAAGTCTGCTCATCACTTTCAAAGGAATATGGAAAGAAATTGGATTAAGCGAATACACGATTGTCTCCATGCCAAGTTATCACAAAAACTCTCGTGTAAAAACGCCTCGGGGATCCCACTTCTGCTTCAGCATTTTCAACTTTGCTAGCCTTTTAGTTCCACGGAATCGCTGAGCCACGGGAGCAGTGCGATTACAATTTGGGTAGTCGATGTAATCCGCTTCTTTTTGACCAACTCGCATAGCTGCGAGTGCCCGAAGATCAAAATCTATAACCGTTCCTCTGTTCTCTGGCTGATGATACCAAGAGAAAGTGTTCCTAAATAGCGAACCTGTTAGAAAAGAACCTTCATTCCCAAAAATCAAAAGAGAAGCTTACATCCACATGTGAACGTCTTGAAAACTGAACGCAGAGTCTTCATGTACTGGTTTTGATGTTCCTGTATGCCATTCAAACAGATACATTGAGCCACCAGCTTCAGGACAATTATCCAACAACTCCTTAAATAGCTCAACGACTTTCAAAAAGTTTTTGGGTTTGAATTCTTCAACGCCGACTAAGCTAAAGCTTTTAAGGTCCCCCTTGACACAAGCATAATCCTGAGCTTGGCGATACTCGGAGAATTTTAGCGTTGAAGCCGATGCCATCATTGGTCCTAAATCATTCAGTGCTTGATACACAGCTGGGGTATCCTCCTGGTTTCCCAAAAAATGTATCAAAACGAGAATAACAGGCTGAAATGCTGGAGGAGGAGCCATGACCCCAATCTGCCCTGCGGTAACATGGCTTTTATCTCGCATAATTGGCTCCAAGACTGCACAAACCTCTTCTGCACTTTTTAAGGGGTAGATCCAGACTCCGGTCCAGTGAGATCCATCCTCAGATCCCAAGATTAAGAATGGGAAAGTTCTCATAGTTAAATCCAGGACGACACCAAAGAACTGGCCTGCACCTTTGATGGCCCAGAAGAGATCGGCTTCATTGTTGGCACTCACGTCAACAATGTCGCCTTTTGCGGTCATAATCTTGGCGGCGAGAATTTGATCGCACGCGTATCCAGTTACTGCGGTCAAGATACTGGTGCCGCCCCCTAAGACGTAAGGAATGACTCCAACCGTATTGCCATTCCCAAGAGCTATGCAAGTCAGCACTTAGTACAACGAAAGAGAAATAAACATCCACGTACTAGTGCATCTGCCAGCCAGTTCCAAGGCACTAGCCAATTCATGAATTAATATTGCCCCAGATATTGTCACGGATTCTGCATCCGCGTCGATAGAGATTGAGTTCAGAAGACTAAGGTCGATGATAAAGCCTGAATTACCGATCGTTGACCAAGGACTATGGCCTCCGCTGGCAAGAACGAATGGAATGGAGTTTGCGTACGCAAATTGAACCTAAAATACTTTTAGTTGCTTAGCCTTATTGGAGATTAATTGATGCGCCGTGTAATCCCACTCACTATTTTTGCAACATCATCCTGCGTTGCGGGTCGGTATATTGCACCAGGGGTTTGAATTTCTTCATTGGACCATCTTTCAATGCTACTTTTGAAGTCTGGGTCTTCTGGATTGGTGAGAATTTCCGTTTGCGGAGTCAGGTCAGACCTCAATGACGAAACCAGAGTTGGTAAGGCCATAGTTTACCACTGATATCGGTGAGGGAATGAAAATACAATTCAGCTGACTTTCACTTTAGAACTGTAATGCCTCCGTCGAGCGAGGTGGGTAGCTCGGAGAAAGGCTGACGTAAACACCCTGTGATATGTTGGTAGGCTATGCATGCTGCAGTTGGACTTGTTGGGCACCGGGAGCCAGGAGTCGCGGGGCCTTCGCTAGCCTTGCGGCGTGCTTAAAACACCACCGGGCACTCATGCAACCAGAAGCAATAATTGAGATCCTGGCTTACTGCAACAAGGATACGGACTGTGTTGCGTATCCTATGAGAAAGTAAGTTTGAGTGACACCCCGCACCATGGTAAGTGTTCACATGATATTTTACAGTAGCTCGTGTAATTCATTCGCTTACGATAATTTGGACAATATTCTCAACGTTGATTTATTTTGTTACAGTACACATCCTTTGAAGAAGCTCCTCATGAATGACAGAGCATACGTTACTGGTGTCTAAGACTAAAGGCCCTATCTCGCTTAAGGAACCTCCTCCCCATATTCCGCCACAACAGACCCGGGAATTGAAACGTCCACTGCCCGTGTAGATGCCCATTGATCTAATTTATCCCAATTCACGCATTAGTGTTCTGCAAGAAGACTTGCTGTTTGTTCATGATAACGATAGTAAAATGTTGTCAGGGCTATGTCTCCACGACACATCACAAGCTCTCGGAAGTGTTCAAGGCAGTGCTCTGTTGAAACATTTTAGCAAAAGCATCCCGCATCCCGCATCCCGCATCCCTTCAGTCATGGCAGGTACCTGTATGAAAAGTTTGGAATGCAAGTTCTTTCTCGGTCATATTAGGAAGATAGTGATCTCGATACATAAAATGTCGAATCCGTTTCTGTCCTTATGTCAGTAACAACAACCAAGGGAGAGAACTAAAAGCTTACGAGGCAATGTAAATCATGATATACTTCTAGTGAAGAAAGGTAACCTGTGCCATCTGAAAGTTCTAAACTTTGACCTCCCATATCATCAAGCTCCTGTTTTGAAACTCGGATGTGTATATCTGATAGGGTGTGATTAGCTCCTTATGGGCTTTCTTTTCATACAGATTACCTATCTAACGTACTTTTAAGTAACTTGTGCCATGCGTCGTCTAACTCTTGTCTTGGTGGTCCAGCAAATGGATTTCCGTCTACTGGAGAGTGGAACACCTTTTTCTCGTAACGAAGGGCTTCTATTGCCGGTGCTAGGCCTCTGTCAATTATTCTTTTATTTGCCTAGAGAAGGAGGTTGATCTTACAATTGATTAAGGCGTGGTTACCACGTCCGCCTTGATGCTGAAAATCCTTTAGTAATATCAAGAATTTCAAAGTATATCCAAGTATAAGAAGTAAGTGTATAAGTGTCCATGATCGAGTTACTCTCCACTGTTGGCTGTGATCTTTCTTGTTGTTTCGCCAGAATATCTCAGCCAAGAGCGTATCTGAGTTTACATCATCGACGTCTTCATTTCCTAGTAAAGAGTGTTTAGAACTCATAGTCGCCTCCGAAATACTTAGGGATTTGAGCGCGTTGCAGGATCCGTGATAAAATGTAGCCTTCAAAATTTTCTTGGAACATGGGGGTAGGCGAGACCCCCAGATTCAAAAAAATTACCCACGAATAACAAGAAGCGGACATCTCGAATGGGCGGTGAGGGCAGATGATGCACACCTGGTTGCAACAAGAATCGGTGCCATCAATTCATCCGCTGCACTAAGCAACTGGGGAGTGACATACGTTCCTAATTGGGAAGCCCAGTCGGGATGTTCTTTAAAACCAGCGCTTAACGAACGAAGTAACGTTAGCAGTTGCTGCTTCAAGGAAAGAAGCTGAGCCGAGTTTATTTTCCTTCCAGATACCCACATAAAGTACTCAAACACCGCATTAATTTTCTTTGGATAAAAAAAATGTTGAAGTACCTCAGGGCTATCCGAAGAGGCGCGGACTACAAACAACTCGATACCCAAGAGAGCGAGTACCAAGAGCCAAATGTCTTTCCATCTGTTACTTGTAAAAGTGAACCTCGTGTTTTCTCAAAAGCTTCCAATGTGATGCTTCTTTTTATCACCGTTTTAGTATCGATTACAGTTGGGTTCCTTGGGGGCAGAAACCTACCAAAGGCGTCATTTTTGGACCTGCTGCTCGGTAATTTCGTCTTGTAAACTTATTTAGATATCGACTCTTGCTTATTTCTTGTAGAACCAGCCGGTCATATCAAGACAACATGGCATTATAATAAGACGTTCTCGAATAGTCCATCCGAAACAAGTGAAGCTGCGTGGATGTCCATATTTCTACGTAAGAGCACATGTTTCCAACCGAAGTACCAAATCTGAGCTATATAGGTGGTCGCGGCTTTTTTACCCACCCAAGATACGAAAGGAACATTAGTGGTATTGCTGTTTTTCATGAGCTACACTGCCTTGTGAGTTGATAGGAAATTATAGAACGCGGGTAGTTGTGGCTGACTTTGCACCAGAGCGGAATTAGACTTGCCTACTATCAAGCATTGAACAAGACACATGAGATGCAAAATAACTTGCAAAATGAGGACGCGGTGATTGATGCAGCTAACGCACACAATGACCCTCATCACATCCGGCACTGTTTCGACTACCTGCGGCAAGCATTAATGGTATGTCTCCATTTAGTTTTTGCTGGTTAACCATTCCAACAAAGCAATGCCTGACGCTCCTGAAGTGTGCCGCAGATACAAATATTGAGAGAATTGATTGGAAGCTAGGCGGATCTACGGTTTGGGGGTTTGAGCGAAAATGTAGGGACTATACTGACGTGGTTAAATGGGCAGAAAGATGGAGGGTGCATTCACAAGTTAATACTAGCTAATAAAACACGTAGAGAAGCCTAGGGTCTCTTTTACAGACGTATCGTATCTGTCCAAACTTGAACAAATCTAAACGTAAATCCACCCCAACAGTAAATGCAATAGGTCTAATAATTAAACATGCGATCGGCTATGGCTATGTTTCACGATTGATGAAATAGTCTCATAATAGACATTAAAACTCCCAACAATACTTATTCATTTCTGGGGTACAAGCTTCCCTGCTCATCTAACAAAATACCTGGGGTCTCAATATTGACTGAGCGCTCCTTAGTCCATCTAGTAAGAGAGTCCCATTTCACGCACTTGTGAGAACTTCGGTCCCACGGCGTAGGAGTTCGATGTTTTCCGTCCCCAATCCAGGTAAAAGTTACTAAAGAGGTGTCGCCAAGGCACATGATAGATTCCCTGAGCATGTCTATGCAGTGGTCTATATCCTAATCAGCTATCATTCGTTCCATGGCATCTACTAGCAGACGACTTACTTATGTGAGCGGGCCACTCTTTTAACTCAGCCTCCGTATAATTCTTCGGAAGAACATAATAATCTTTGAATATCCAATGGCGGATCTTTTTCTGCTGAAGTTAGTTTATATTGAAAAGTGCAACAAGTGATTACATACTAAACAGTGGAGTTCATGAAAAACGTTAAGCTGGGCGATATAGCCTCCATTTGCAAGCTGAACTGACTTAAGCCCCGCAAGATCAAGGTCATTTTTGTCGACTTTTACATTATTGTCTTGCACACCCATTAATCTTTGCCTATCGAGGCTGAGGGCTCTTTCATATTACCTTCGAAGAGATTATGCCACGCCAAGTCGAGTTCGGGGCTGGGGTCGCCTGCAAACTCACTATCACGAAAATCCTTCAAGAATTTCTTCTTCTCGAATTCGATGTTGCCTGATTTGTAAACCGGCGCTGGAACTTGTATGAGTATAACCGGCAACACCAGGGGTTCTCACTTACACTGAACATCTGCGGAGACTATACACTGGTCTTGTAGCTTGAAAGATTGGAAATGGAAATAATGCAGGTAGAAAAAGACGTATAAAAGGATTGCTGGAACGTACAGAATTGCGAGCACCAAATTTGCTCTCAATGTCACTGCAGCAGGCTTCTTCAAAAGAGTTTCCTTAGGATTACATGCTTCGTCATCTTGCAAAAAAGGAAGACCAGCAGAGTTCTCGGTAGCCATTGCCGTCAAAGGAATATATTGGTTTGGAGTTGAGGCTTCAATAATGGGTCAATGATTGAGGCCGATAGTAGAGGAGAGTTCTTTCATTTCCCTGGTTGTTAATTAAAGCGGCGCTTGCACGCTGTTCTATCTGCATGCCAGCTTGGGTGAGAATTGAAATGTAGTGCATGACGTTTGTGCAGCCATTTCCGTTTCCATCTCAGCTCCGAGGTCAATAACACATCGTTGTGAGAGTTGGGGTGTGATTATTCACGTATTTGAAGTTCGGGAAAAGATCTCTTACTGGCCGACAAAGTGCTATCCCCCCTCTTTTCCGCAGCTGAGAACGGGAGTCTTTCCTTTCTGGACTCTTCGGAAGGACAACGAAATGGGGTTGGAATGAAGCATGTCCTCCTTCCCACGGAGCAAAAATGGGATGGCTTTAGATCGAGGTCTGACTTATGACGCAGCCTAGTAGGAGCACGGGGGCACCTACTCTAGGTGCCCCACCACCTAAATCAGGTTGTCACGAATCACGTGCTCACGTGATACTTGTCATAATAAGAGGCGCAACCCTCGACAGGCATACCCAGGTTTCTTATAGCAAATAGGGATAGCTTAGGGTAGCTAAGCGATCCAGGGATTTCCATTGGTTATGGTCACATGATTAAGTTGGATCGCTGGATCGCTCGGCGACCTAGAGAGAAGGACCGCCAGCTCGACAGGCGAGTTGGCTACCCAGATCATAGTACTTGAGGATGAAGGTTCTATATAAGACTGGCACGTCTGCCATTAGATAGGAGCTTCGTGCTCAACTTAGTTATCAATCTTATCATATTAGTTTGACATCTTTGATACAAGTAACGAGTTCACTTCCAAGTGAACAACCCGATAGTCTTCTTCTTATCATAGCATACCAACCAGCGAACACCCAGCCAAGTTTAGTTAGCCAGTTGAGGACGAGGAAGACGAGAACGAGGAAGTGTAGCGTACAGGGCGTGAAACGCGGGGGCGTACTACAACATAACAACTTTTCTTTTGTCATAACCAGAAGCCTAGCTGCTTCCAACAACCCAAGAACTGTAATGACCATAACCCCCTTCTCAAAAATGTATTTAGTACAGCTTTACTCATCTGTTGGAGGGAAACCCCCAGCCGTGCTACTATAGTCTCAGACTCACACAGCACGTTAAAAGGAATAATAATAATAATAATAATATAAGTACTCGTATATGCTAAGCTTTCCGATATCCACGTGATAAAAGTGGTGGATATATCGCAACAATGCGGGTGTTGGCAGTATTGCTCCTTCTTTAACGGATAACTTGTCCGAATGCATCTCTACAAACTTGCTTGGATCCTCCCGTGTTACGGAGGCTTTTTTACCACTCCTCAAAAATTCGGCATCTGCCCGTCTGCTCTTCATCACATCTGTGCTTGGGTCTATACATGCACGATCTGACAGTGCCGATCCCTTTTCACAGTTTTCCGTTAGTGGCTACTCACCCTTCAAAGTTTTGGAAATGGGTCATACAAAAAGCACGAGATTTCAAAATAAAATGGACTAGCTAATGCTTCAGAAACTCAACATCAATAATACACCAGTTCCCAGTAATTATATCTTTTTCCAATAGAGAGTATGTCACAATGTAACGTTTTTGCATCGACTCCCCCCTTTCCTCGTTAGCGAGGTAATTGATCCAAGTCTTTGCAGGGTAGAACTGGATAAATGATATGGTTTTGGGACTATTACAATCCCTCCTGTTTCTCATCTGGTTTAAATTTTCTATGTCTATCTAGGTTGATGTCGTAGAAACGAAATTATCACCGGATAAAAGATCATCAGAATTCTGATCCCGCTTATCATTGCTGGTCATCCCAACTCAAGACTTTTGTTCGCGGTAATTGAGTAGGGAGATCCAAGTTTACTGTAACAGCCATTGTATGCACACTGTCATCCGAACTATCCAGTTATGAAAGATCCTTTTTTACATAGAGGCTTGGTAGAATTGAGGTCTTTTGGGTTGCAACACCCCGGGACGAAAAGAATGTTGTTCTTCACGTGCTTAGACCTACAGTACATCCTACCGAGGACAGCTTATGCCTGAGTTTCACCAACAGAAAAAAGAACAAACGACCGCCCTGAAACGGACATTTCTCCCGACATTGCTCATATCACACGAGGGAACCCGAATGATTTACGACTCTTCTCAGCCAGCGCCACGATTTTATATGCATCATGACATGTTCGCAGTATGCTAGTGAAGGACAAGGTCAAGTGATATCCTATGTTACAGCACAACCTTCCTAGCCGAGGATGAAATGCGACTAGCGGCTAATATAGTACGGAGATACCTTCATAATATGACCCTGAAAGTTTACAAAACTGGCAGGTTTTATTACAAGTGACGGTCCAAGCGTTTGTGTTGATCAATCTCGACCAACAACTCAGATAATATCCTGGCCGCATATGGTATACTCAATCAGATATGGACTCTACAGCCACATACACAATAAAAAGTCTGAGGGTATGCAGGTCATTTCACATCAGTCCAGCAGTTTTTTAAATCCTACCCTTATGTTACTTCAAACTAATTCGAACCTCTCGAAATAAGAAAAAAGCAAATCCCTCTTGTATCCACCACGAAACTGTCTCACCTGTGTCCTTCGGAAGCCATCGAGCGCTTTTAATAAAATAATCAAATCACATGACACAGTTTAACGGCAGGATTATACCAATCAGGTGTTGAGAATGCCCACGAGGGTCAACATTATCTTACAACCATCCTTCCACCTGAGACAACAGAGTATCCTGGACTCAATGATCCTAACACCGTTGTATATGAAAAGGTAGTTGATAGTGTTGATGATATAGAACGATGAAGATGCAGTGTTAACTTGCTGTAGATCAAATACGTCCTGACGATTGCCACGACAATTTGCATTGGAATCACGAAATTCTCAGTCATCCTTCTCTACCGCCGACTATTTGGACGTGAGAAATGGTTCAAGTATGTGTGCGATGCTTGCCTCGTTATCATCTTATTATTATTATTATTATTATTCCTTTTAACGTGCTGTGTGAGTCTGAGACTATAGTAGCACGGCTGGGGGTTTCCCTCCAACAGATGATTAAAGCTGTACTAAATACATGTTTGAGAAGGGGGTTATGGTGAATACAGTTCTTGGGTTGTTGGAAGCAGCTAGGCTTCTGGTTATGACAGAAGAAAAGTTGTTATGTTGTAGTACGCCCCCGCGTTTCACGCCCTGTACACTACACTTCCTCGTTCTCGTCTTCCTCGTCCTCGTCTTCCTCGTCCTC